CTCTGTCCTCACGTGTCTGTCCGTTCGGGTAGACATAGTTAGATTCGTGCGCTTCCCCACCACACGACAGCGCCGCGCCGCACTTCGGCGAATGTGCGCGACGCCGACGCCGAGTGTTCATTAAAAGGAATTTATACTTCGAAAGTGAACTATTTTGTAACTTTATACACCCAAAACTTCGAAATTACATGTTCCTAGGTTCAATAGTTAAGATTTCATATACTTACTTACATAAAGGTTGGCTTTGTAGGTCCCGTTCCGAATCCGTTCCGGGTCTTATCTTCAATTCATCCCCTATTTTACTACATATCACACTGATAAAATTTTCAAAATGCTAGTACACACGATTTTTTGTTTCTTATGACGTCATATTTGACGAAATTGCATACTAACTTTCAACCCTTATTTCACCCCCTAGCTGGTCGAAGTTTCAAAAATGCTAGAACAAATATTTCATATTTTCATATCAAGTGCTTAAATATTAAGTTTTATGGTTTTATCTTTAAAAATTACGAAATCCCATACAAACTTTTAACCCCTATTTCAAAAGTAGCCTATGTTCTGTCTCAGGGTCTGAAGATTGTCTGTACCAAATTTCATTAAAATCGGTTGCGAGGTTTAATCGGGAAAGCGTAACAGACAGACAGACAGACAGACAGAGTTACTTTCGCATTTATAATATTAAGTTAGGATAGCATACAAATTTCTCAAAAATTTGCTAGTAAATATCTAAAATTAAGTGTATCGACAAATCAATGAATGGCTATTTATTTATTCAATATGTTATTGTATTGAAAAGTCGAAATAATTTACTTTTGCCTGAGGTAACTATTTCAATTTAATCATTTCTGAAAAGTCAAAATAAAATACTACGTCTTTTTGTGCTGTCATGTTTACAAATTCAAAGATTATATTTTAGAATATAATGGATGAAAAAAAGCTGTTATAAATCCGTCCCCTATACGTGGTTTTTATTTTCATTTTGTAAACCAATATTATCTAAAAAACTCATCGATAACATTTTACAAATCATGATGTTACTGTTTAACATTATTCTAACTTATCCGACCATAGATGTTTGCATTAAAACCATTACTGACCCATTTAAAATATAAAAGAACATTTACTGCTCCTAAAGCCATATATTTTCTAAGATGAAAACTTCATGGTACCTTTTATCGGGAATAAACTGAATAGGCCAGGTGTAATAGACATTATAGAGGTCTATTTGAAAAAGGTATTAAGCCTTTACCGTAAGCAATTTAAAAATGGAATTTTCCAGATATTTGTGCGGTCTCAAGTAGATACCTAGTGTAGTTGACATTTCAAAAAGTTTAATGATTTATTTCGCGCCATTAAACGCATTTGGCTTTTGGAGATTTTATTTTCTTTTGTTACTAAAATAAGTTTATGTGTCTCAAAAGAACTCAAGATATCAAAATATGTGAAAACATTCACCAATTTTGTGATTGTGTTTTTGTATATTTTTTCGTAGAAAGAGAACTTAATTTTATTTTATCCATCAAATTGACTGCACGGTTGGTGCGGTGGCTGGGCAACTGGCTGCCATGCAATGTGTCGCGGGTTCGATTCCCGCACGAAACAACACTTTGTGTGATCCACAAATTGTTGTTTCGGGTCTGGGTGTGATGTGTATGTGAAATTGTATGTTTGTAAACGCACCCACAACACAGGAGAAAATCCTAAAGCGGGGCAACGTTTTTTCTAACGACAAAAATTAATATCTATGCCTGCAGCAAGTTTGTGCAATTCCCACGCAAAACAATATTTTGTCTGTCTTAGTTGGGGTGTATTGTGTATGTGGAATTGTATGTTTGTAATTGTAAGCGTTCTGACAATGCCTAGTAACAATCCTAGTATGGAGAAACGTTTTTGAAGAAAACTTTAATATTCATTTATCTTCAAAAACGTTTTGGTCGATGAATTAATACTTAGAGAATAGTGAAGAGATTAGTCTAATAATCTAACCTCTCCTATCCCAGAAAATACTACAAACATAACAAAAGATCTCGCGACAGACCATAAAAGTTATTTTGAAAATATCACAACTAATATTTGACTCTGGATCTATACAAGTTTGAATTAGTTCACGATCCGACGATGTGGAAAATTGTTTTATCCAATGAATGAATGTGCTTGTTAGACAGACGGAGGGTTTCGTGTATTTGTTCTTCTGTTGCCATTGCATTTAAATGGAGAATATAGAGAAGGGCGCAAAAAGTTTTTAACATTCTTAACGCAAACGTAATATATGATATGCAACAATTATTTGAAAATATAATGTATAAAATTGATGATAATAAAAGCTTCTTCAAAAAAAAACATTTTAAAAACTAAAAATAAATGTTTATTCGGTGTTAACGTTTACGATATATGTTTTTAATACTAGCGGCATGCTTCGGCTTCGCAGAGGTGCAATACCGATACTAATTTTTTTCTCTATTTATTACATTTTTTTATTGGTACATATGAACTTTCCTATTCTATGTCTACATCTATAAAAAAACACATTAAAATCCGTCGCGTAGTATATAAGAATTTAAGCATAGATTAAGAATTAACCACCAATTTTGCTCCAGGTGGATGGCCAATTTCAAAACTTATAACTAGATATTATAAATCTAGGCCTGATCGTGACATTTTTCTTTACCGTATGTGAGTAGTGTCTAAATAAAATTAGAAAAAACATAACTCAAAAAGAAGGTTTTGGCGCCATAGCTTCTGGGCCACGAAAGCAATAGCTACTACCTTTGTAGTATTTTTTTACTACATTGTCAGGCAAAAATGTTCAGGCACTTTTACAAAAGTAAATTACAACGTACAAATACAATATTGACAAAAAAATCGGCGTAGAAGCAAGCCACGTAAACAACATAATCCGAAACCAAAATAACAAAAGGTAATTTCTCAAGCCAAAACAAGTGCCGGCCAAAAACAGAATTAATTTGGCTAAAATCCTCGCCCGTTTCACAAAAATCGATAAAATGGCCGAATACACAACAGAATACCGCAAGCTGTTCTTATTTTCTAAAATGGAATTCCGTTGATCGTCGTAAGTGAGGCTAAAAACGAAACACGAGTCTGCCCGATGTTTCCCATTTAGCCTTGTTAGAAAGCCAGCTTTAATTACGAGAATACCTCTCGACTGTTGACGTTAGCTGACAGTCCAATATATCTCACACATTGGCACCAACATTGTACGAAACACCTTCATACCTTACCCACCTTGGATCAAAGGTTGGCTCAAAAACAGCGTCGCTAATTTGCGGCATGTCTACTTTTCCATAGAAGAGTTTTCGCGTGAAATTCGAATACCAAACGCTGTTAACTTTCGTTCGTGCTGCCGAGATTTGAATTTCGAATATAGTCAAATGTTGTTTTGTTAAATTTAAATTTCGAACCGTTGCGTTCCAATTTATTTCGGAAAAGTTTTATGCCAACGTCATTGCTAGACTTTTAATTGACAAGAGAGTTTTGGTTTATTCAATAAAAACTTTTTATTGTAGTCGTTATCATTTTTGACGAAATCAAAAATAACTTTATTAGAGAGAATATGTTTATTATAAAACTGTTAGCAGTTGTAATGTTCACAAGTACGTTATTACCGTTTCGAGGATTATTATAGTTATTTTACTGAGGTTATTTTAACGACAGCCCAAAGGATGTCGAATAAAATCTTAACAATATTCATAATTTTCTGGATATATCGGATGTTCTTTGGTTAGTAGAACTGAGTCGTGACTTAGATTAAGATTATTAGTGTATCTGATCTGTTCTAAAAGTCTATCTACATAGTTACGAAAAATTAATCTTTGAGATAAACACTGAAAGAATACGGAAGAGATGGATATACGTTGTTAATAATGAGAAGATCTCAAAATTCTATGCTAATATTGTATTTTAAATAAAATCGAACTTGCATAAATAATTTTGACAGTTAACTTTAAACCGCAAAATAAATATTTCGGCATTTATTAAGTTTCTATTTCAGTTACAGCTTACAACAACGTACAGACATATTGTAATCTTATTTGAATTATTAACCTTTCGCCTATCTATTAGACGCGATATTAAATACTTATTTAACAACACCAATTGGACCAGCTTGTTATCTAAACAACAATTAAGTAAACCACCTAAGGCCAACAATTTAATTATATATTACGGCAATGGTTGCAATTACAAATTACGGAAAACAAGTACACTTCCTTTTGGTTTAACACTGAATAGGATCGTATAAAAACTGAGCATTGTTAAGAAGGAGGACTTAATTATGTCAAGGACCAAAATGTTTACATAACCTCGAAAATGCTTTGAAGATTTACAAGCAAGTGTTTTGGTTACCTAATTTCCTTCGTCAGCCGCAAACAAGGCAGTTATGATAATGATATGGAAAATAATACTCTAATAAGACATCGTTATGATCTGACCAACCGTAGGCTTTCGTAAAACGTAAACACATTATATAAATTACACCACCATTTTATCTATAAACTTTAAAGGAATTCTTTCAACACAATGTTTTGTGGACAGTGTTTACTGCATGCGAATATAGCCCATATTTTATTGGCAACACGGACGGAAATAAAAACATCATAGCGGCTCTTATTGCACAGTTGAACATACGCAATAACACGTTTTATTGCACGGAAAGGATTTTACTGCTTTACCACTATGCGGTAGGGAGTACCTATACAGTTTTCGCACACAATTATTTGCAAAGCACACCAAATTTATTATAAACCCATGATATTTATGAAGGTTTCCGAAGAAGAAACAGAGTACAAGTAAAAGAATCGCTTAGTCTCGGAAATAAAGAGACTTTTGACCAGAACACTAGAAGAAGCAATGGTTTGTAATTCCCTCGTATTTTATACGACAGTACATATAAATTTCTCCGTTCATTAATTCGGCATAAACACTGTCTCAAACATTTTGTTAGAAGAAAACAGCCAGTGTGGAGCGTAATAAAAATAAAAATGGCGGCGGCAGAAATTTGGAGGCTGTTCGCTTCGCAGCGACAAACTACGGACGACTATAAATGTGACTAGTTACTTCATCATTAACTGTTATTTATTTTATTTGTTACTTTTATTTATTAAATCACTCATCGATGTCGTACAACGGGTTTAGAAAGTTTTCGAACAGCCTTCACTGATTCCGCCATTTTGTAAACGTGTCGCTTGTTTTGTCCGTTATTATTGCTTTTGGGGTGTTTTGTATTATCGCAACTGTTCGAAAACTTTGCACTGTTTGTATTTTATGTTTTTTTAGTTGATATTTCATTGAGTAGTTTTATGTGTTTCTAGTGTAGCTTTGATTTTTTTACACCTCAATAGTTTGTCTAATATTGCGCTACTAATGTCTATAAAAATGTTAATGTTTGATATTTCTCCTTAGGTACGTTTTCACAATAGTGAGCTATTTGATTGGCGTGTTCATATTCGCGACTATAGTGGGGCAGGTCGGCAATGTCATCACAAATAGAAACGCGAACAGACTCGAGTTCGAGCGACTTCTAGACGGCGCCAAAACTTACATGAGACATCATAAGGTAAGATAGTTCGAACTGATATTGTCTGGGAAAATGAACCTTATTGTTAGGAATTAGTTATCTACTTCCTTCATTGGAGTATTGGTAACTTGGAACTAATTAATGAAAGTTAGCAACTAAGAAATCAAAAAGGTTTGTTTGGAATTTCCACCTGAACCTGTTACCTTAGTTTTGTTAAGGTTTACAGATATCTAATATTAGAACAAGACCTGCAACAAACTTTTTACAAAACCAAAAACTATAGTGAAATATTAAAGATACGGATAAAGATAGCTTATTTGTAAATAAAATAATTAAACAAGACAATAATATTATGTCGACTCAGATTATAATCAAAAAGATATTTACTTTTAAAATCAACAAACATTAAAATATTACAATAAAGTCACCTTAACAGATATGTACAATGACAAAAGATTATAATTGATTCACCAAACCCCAAGCGAACGCCAGCGTTCGCGCACCTATTTTTCTATTCTGTCTTGAATTACCACGGTTGAAAGGTTAAGCATCTAAGCTGCATCTATTTAGATTAATTTCCAAGATAGGTGGCTAGCATTTAAAATATATTCCATTATCCATTACATAAAATCTGCAACATTGTAATATAAAACAACAATCCAACGAAAATTGTAAAATTAGCATTCAGCGCAAAACCCGTATCTTGCCTAATACTCTCACAATGAACTCCAAAGGGTGCTGGAGCGAAAAATTCCGTTTTGCAAAACGATGTGATATATTTTGCAGGTGCCAGGTGGTATGAAGCGGCGTGTGCTGCGATGGTACGATTACTCTTGGTCTCGGGGTCGGATTCAAGGGGGTGGCGATATTAATACAGCTCTGGGGTTGCTCCCGGATAAACTAAAGACCGAACTTGCTTTGCACGTCAATTTAAGTGTTCTGAAGAAGGTAGGTCCTTGTTATTAGCTGCTTATTTAAAGTCATTTTCCCTTCTATTCTATCATATGTGTTTTTGTCATACAATTGGGTAGTTTCCTAGGTCAAAAATAAATTAATTCGATGTTTCAATACAATAAAATATTTAAAAATAACTATACTTTTATTCATCGATCGATCGATACACTAAGTTTTAGATATTTTATAGCTATTTATTAAGGAATAAGTAAGCTATTTGACGCAAAAATACTGTGACGTCATACTTCAGTTTATCATACTAATTTCATAGAAAAGTATCGTTTTTGAAATTTCGATAAAAGTGTTGAATTTGACTAGTTGGAAACTACCGTATTTAATATTGACAAACTTTTTACTAAATTTTTAAAAATGTTTATGGATATAAATCTACGTTCATGCAAACTCTGACTCGTACTTTCGTGTCTACATTAGTTTTTCTGGTAAACAAATGACAAATTCATAGATCGTCAAAAAATAGACAAATCCCATTAAGCAACTCGAAATCAAAACTTCATTAGTTACTTAGGCTAGAAATTCAACAGTGCACTGATCACCACTATCATGAATAACTTAATATTAACAAATAAAAGTCTAATTATAGAAGAATGTCGTTAGCTACCTATTAACGAGGGTTGACCTATATCCTGTAGATAACTTCATATTGCCGTAAATGGGCAAACATTCAATGATTCTTTTATTTTCAGGCCGCTATGAAACCGAGGCCCGTCGTAAAACCTTCCGAAATAAATCGTAAATTTCCCCATCGTTTCAGGTTTCACATTATTTGTGTTAAGATCATGGTTATTTTAAGTATTTAAATTGTAACGTCATATTGTAATCTTTAGTGAGGAAAGTTAAGTGGGGTTTTGATATTAACTGCATGCAATTGAGAACGCTTTTTACTTACACAAAGAGTTCAATTTTACTAACAAAATCTTGCAAATTAATGTACAGGAGACTAAGAGATCTTCTATTTCTACTTATCTTAATGATTATCCAAGAATTACCCGGAAAACCCTTTAATGGACCCGTTCTTTTCCACGTTACCAACGTCAGTACCCGAACTCATATTCCAAAATCACCCTTATTCCTTCGCGTAAACTATGAAATAGCAGGAGATTCAAACTTGTCACTTACACCGTTTTTACAGGTAACAATATTCCAAGAGTGCCAACCAGAGTTCCTTCACGACCTCGTTTTGAAAATGAAAGCATACATATTCACTCCCGGCGATTCCATTTGTAGAAAAGGTGAGTCGTAAAATCAGGTTGCTTACAGCTTACACAGTGTACAATATAAGACAGTTGGGCAACTCCTTTTCATGTCCCGACAATGTCACTTGTCAAATTATATAAATAAAAAATTTGATCCTTTGGACGGAACCGCGGTGGTTTTGAAGAGCTTCATTATGTTAAACAAGAAACTGTAACAAGCGATTGCATTTGCAGTTTAGTCCCTTAGGTTATTTTAATACAATAAAATGTACAGGCAGCTGTTAAAAATCGCCACTGTTCCGCCGTTCTAATGGTTACCATATTTTTTTTTCGCCAATTAATCCGTGTTACTACGCTTAAAACACGTCTTGTTTGACTGAATCTAGGTTATATCTGGTGCATACAACTGTTTTCTTATATTTTGAAATTTTCATTTAGTAAACTTATTGCATTCTCATGTTTTTACATGACAATAAACAGATAAAAGCACAGTGTTTGTCCACTGCAATATAACGATGTCTAGACAGCTGCACATCTGCATAATACTTTAATCTGTCGCCATATGCAAAACGAATTATCCCCTTCTTACGAACTCCTTTTAAAATATAATCAAATAATGGAAATCAATCGCATCCAATATCTGAAGGCCATTTATTTGTTAGAAAACAATTTTCGATATTAAAATGTCATCAACGATAACTTAGTTTAGGTTTCCGCAAATTCAATTTATATTAAAGTTTTGGGACTCATTCCGGAATCTGTTTTTGGTAGAATGATGACACGAATTTTATTCGACTGTGACAAATTTTTCATTACCTTATGCCTTATGTAAACTATTTCTTTACCTATTTATTGTTTGTAGAGTAAATATATAGAAAGTCAAGTCCAGTTCCACTCTCTTTGATTTATTATCGCCTAAGACTTCATAGGTTTCTTGAACTAAAATTTGGAGCGCAGAACAAAAAATCTGTTAAACAATAATAACTAACACATTTACGTTTAGGTTATTGTAGTATTTATTTTAAAAGGAAAAATTATCAATACTAATTACATATTTGTATTAATTCCAATCCAGGTGAAGTGGCTCGAGAAATGTTTATAATAGCCGATGGTATACTGGAAGTGATATCAGAACAAGGCAGAGTACTCACTACTATGAAGGCAGGAGATTTCTTTGGAGAAATCGGAATATTAAACCTCGACGGGTTGAACAAGTAAGATACCACTTTCTTATTAATTGTAACTATCATGAGACATACTATATTATATTAACGACATACTCACGCGAATTAATTGAAAAAAACAGTACTGTCACTAGCTTCTGAGAAAAAAATTGTAGAGCTTTCCTCAGTTAATGACGTGAGTAAGTCGTTATCTGTATGAATATATAAAATTATCATCATCAGCCTGTTGTCGTGCACTGCTGGACATAGGCCTCCCCTATTGCACGCCACTGAGCTCGATGTTCAGCTCTTCTCATCCAACCACTGCCAGCCACCCTGCGGATGTCGTCAGTCCACCTAGCCGGAGGGCGCCCTACACTACGTTTGCCTAGACGTGGTCTCCACTCTAGAACACGTTTACCCCAGCGGTTATCGGTTCTTCGACAGATGTGACCTGCCCACTACCACTTCAAATTGCTAATCCTTTGGGCTATGTCTAATGATCATGAGCACATAACTCAACAACGCCTCAACCAATTTTAATATGTTTTACTTTGATTGTGTTTTTTTTTATAGTTAGGAAAATGTTTTATAAAAAAACTATTAAGGATAAAATGAGGAATATTGGGAAATAGTGATTCATTCGTCATTAGCCAGGTAGTTCAAGAAGCAGGTCACGGGCAGCTATTTTTCAATAAAATTAAGTTATACATATATATGTATATCTATCTTTATAATATAATTCTTGTCAGATATCAAAGTAAATTATATTTTAAGGATTACATACGTTATTGTTCAATGGGTTAGCTCGACAAGTTTCAAACTGGCTGGGACCCATATTTATTTTATGAGCAGTTTTCAGCGTGTAAAGCAGTAAACAATCATTATTAAACATTATGAAGTGAGACACAATATTAAATTAGTGTATATAATGACATCGTTTACAAGCTTACAAAATCAGAATTTCAATAAGTTGGAATAACTTCATGGAATTACATCGCTGGATGGCAGAAATAATTTGAATAGCTCACTTAGTTGGTTGGAGATTTAGGTCTATTAATATGTATCATTTTAGGGAATAACTCAACAACATTTATTCTTTCTCCGAATAGTTTATGAATGATATTTGAAATTAACATAACAGTATTTTTATTTTTATTGTAGGTGATACGTAGATCTCTTAATAAACTACTGAAAATAACGAATTATCGCGTGAAATATTTGAGAAAAGCTCTATTAGTTTCAAGTCACAACGGGACTCATATTATTTTATTTTCAATAGATTTAGTATGTCTCACGATAGTTTCTACTCAAAAAAAGATCTTATTGGTAGATTCAAGCAAAAGCACATTTAAAATAATTCGATTTAGTCATAGGTACGTATACAATCGTTTACTATTTTTAGGCGAACTGCAGACGTACGATCAGTCGGTTATTCCGAACTTTTCTCATTATCACGTGAAGATGTGCTAGCTGCCATGAAGGATTATCCCGAAGCCCAAGAAATTCTACAAACCCTAGGAAGAAAACGCCTACAAGAAGCTAAAAATATGTCCAAAAAATGCAAAGGTAAACCCAAAATCCAGTTTAATCAAATTAGTGAAGACCTTCGTCCTAGAAGGTCAAGTTTAAAGGTCAATGAAGGTGTAGGTTAAGATAAAATTATTAATAAAAATACAATGAACCATAAATTATTTCTCAGTAGGAGGAAATTTTTAAAATTGTATTTTAAATAAATAGAAACATATTATTCTAAGACAATCAGTGTTTTCGTGTCATTATAGAGGCGCTAGTGTAGCTAAAGGTCACTAAACTGTTAACGAAACAATGTATTTTTCATCGATATCAGATTTTTTGCCAGTGCTTATAATCATTGGCCTTAATATCTCACAAGCGCCATCTATTGATCAAAAACACGAAACCCCTCATTGAAAATTTCGTAAATAAGGCAACTATTAAAAACTTTAGGACGCAAGCCCAGACAAGACGCTAAAACAATAACGAAGAATTTAAAAGGTGAGAACAATCGAACGAATCGTAGACGGTGGAATGAAATTGTATGAAACTACTTTTTAAACATTTCGAGAACAGGTATTCTGTTTTCTTGGCATTTCAAATATAATTCAACTTTTCAAAGGATAGTAAAAACTATCAGGTACACAGAATTATTTCAACAAAAACAATTTATAATATTTGAAACGTCAAGAAAATATATGTTAAAAAATAGTTTCATTTGTGCACGTTATGGCGAAAACCAAAAGCCAAATGCTTAAATACCACAGCAAAAACAGGTGTTATAAATAGCAATACCATTTTGATCCTAAAATTAATTACGAGTGGGATGCCGACATAATTAACTTAACGAAAGGGCAACACTCAATCACGTCTGCTTTCTCTAAAAGCGATGAGGAGGTTTATTGGAATTTTGACTGACTATCAAAAACTTTAATAACGCTTTGCTTCAAGAAACAAATCAGTCAAGAGTCAGAAAAGGCAAAAAACGTATAATCTTTTTGCCTACAAAATAAAAGAGTTGTTTCTCACCGCTTAAAAAGTTGCTAATAAAATATGTTTACTTATCTAACTAAAGGAAGTTATTAATTAACCTGTCTGTTCTAGGCGAAATAAGTCCCGACAAGATGTCTGGCGACGACAGTACATCTAAAAGGATCGTACATAAACTTCGGAGCGACGTTAAGGTAAACATCGCTATTAAAGCAGTAATGGCTATCGATTTTACAAATAGTGAACTTTTATGCAATTTTATAACCTACCTGCCTTATTATGTAAGTTAATGTCCAAGTTTTGCATAAAGCAATTCATTGTTAGGACAGGTGATATCATTGTCAGCATTCTCAAATTAAAACCTAACTTGTGGTAAAAACTTTTCAGTTATGTTACTACGCTCATTAAAATACAAGTTTAATAGTGTACTCCTGAGAAAAATACAAAAATCATTTACTTAAGCATAATCATATTTAGCCAACCGCTCATCCAACGAGGTAGTAAAGATAACACAATTAATATTTTACACTGAAATTGTATGTAGTTTCAAACACAGCTAGTCGCAGTTTACGAGCCAACCTATTAGAATTCGGAAGCTATAATTTGAAAGCAAACACGGTCGTGTAATGAATAGCTCTGATACCGAATTCTGATAGCAATACATTCTGACGGAGTTAATTTGTGGTGGCAGTTTCTAAATTAACTGCTACGCTATGGGATATTTCAATCAGACATATATAAATGGACACATTTGATATCCAAAAAGCAGACAAAGCTTTCCATATTTCATGTACTACAGAGTTCTTTCGTCACTCTGAAACAGTGGCAGAAACTAGAGATCTTGCTATTTCTGAGAATTTGGACTTACTCACTTGATTGACCTGTTCGCCTGTTAACAGGGCATTCGCAATGCAATCCGAAGCAGATCTCGTGCTGGACGTAGATCTGGAGAATCATTAGAACTACAAGCACTAGCTGGAGCTGAGAGGGCTGGGACTGCAGAAGGAAAAGTTTTAAGAAGGATGCCAAGAGTCGAAAGTGATGATTCGGCTCATCCACATAACCAAGAAGTAAATCTTCTACTTTCCGAAACTACACACCTTGTTAGTAGGGACAATAAACAAAATACAATATATTGTTTTTCACCTACACAGGATAATAATGGAGAAACAACGTCTGGTAGCAAAGATGGTGAGAAATGTATATCACCCATAGGAGCTGGTCTTCCATTACTATCACGCTTAAAGCTACTTAAAGAGAAACAGGTAAATAACATCACAATATCTACTACTTGTATAATAAATAGGTTTTGAATCAAATCTAAAAATTTGATTTTATTCCAGGATCGTGAAGAAAAAGTTGCCAAACAAAGGCATTCAACATCATCAGTTTTATCTTTAACACCTCAACCAACTCCTTCTACCAGTTCAGCACCAGATGCTGAACCAGAAGTAATTGGAGCTGGTCTTCCGCTCATACAAAGATTGCTCTTGCTAAAAGCAAAAGAGGAGAGAGACAAGAACCAACTCACTCCAACGATGAGCAATCAGCCCTCCAGTTCCGACACTATTAGTCCCACGTCCATCAAAAGCCCACTGAGTCCTACAATTAAGACTCTTAGCCCAATCAGAAAGGGTTCAGAATCCAGCTCTCCAGGCAAACTTCAAAGCCCCACCACTAAAACGTCAAGGAAAAATTCTTCAGGATCTAGTGATGGAACATCAAGGCCAAAAGTTAGTTTTAGGGATAAAATATTACAAGTTCAGAGCGACGGTACAGCTGTATGTCAACCACTAAATAAAGATGAAAAACCGGCGGCTGTTGTCGAACCGACTCCGAAAACAGAGAGCAACTTAATTTCGATACCCCATTCCGTTGTTAGCAAAATTAAGTCTCCGGCAAAAGCTGTAGGCTCTACATTTCGAGATAAATTGAAACTATTACAAGGTGGACCAAAGGATACTGACAATGCATCAATAGAAAAGGCTAAATCAGCTTCATTAGAAAAAGCTCCAGTAGAAATAAGTCCGTTGCCAACAACTGAAGCCAAAGAAGAACCAAAGAGTAAAAAGCCTTGGACTAAACTGAAAAAGGCAGCTATACTAGGGGAATCAAAAAGTCAAAGCAAAAGTAGTTTAGAAGAAAAGAAAGATGAAAGTATAAATACGGGTAGTGAGAAAAAAGATGAAGGTATTGCGGAGGCAGTTGTAAATATATGTGTGCCTATAGTAACCACAGCGGAGCTTGTTAAAATAGACAATAATAATGTTGAAGTTGCTAGTGATAATGATAAAGATAAACCTAAGCTTTGCTTAACAGGCCCTTTGGAACCCGTCCAAGAGAAATCATTAGATTTATTAACTTTATCTCCCAAGAAAAATGTTAACAATGTTACAAAACCTGCTGAAACTAAGACGCATATGTCACCGGGGATGTTGTTACCTAAGGTTAAAAAATATAGATCTATAGACGATTTATCACCAGAGTACGGCGGGCTACCGTTTGTCAAAAAGCTAAAAATCTTAAACGAACGACAAAAATTAGCAGAACTAGAAAAAGTTGTGAAAATTAGAAGTTCTAGTTTAGATTGCACTAGTTCGTCTGAAGATTTGCTTTGTGATACATTAACTAGAAGTCATTCGGAGGGCAGCACTATGGATAAAAGAAAATTCAAACGGAAATCTATTGATTCGTGTAGAAGCCACGAATCTAACGAAACTCTAGAACGAAGAGAATTGAAATCCATTTTGAAAAAACTGTCTGAAGATGTCACTCCAGCTGAAAGTCCTGAGCGTAGTAATGAGTTGAAGAGATTAATTCGTGCTCCGACTTTAGAAGGATATGCGGCAAGACATTCAAAGTTTGCCAAGAGTGTAACCTTCCATCGTCATACACTACCCTCACCTCCTGGAAGTGCTCCAGCTGATTATCAAAATGATGACGTTTTTACAATGCCAGAAGTGAATATCAGTTCGATACCCCAAATTTCTCCACCGCCTCCTCCTGACGTTGAAGTTACTGTACCAGAAGTTCCCAACAATCAAATCGCTAGATCAGCAGAGCCAAATGCACCCACCGACTACGGGCTGAACATAAGAGCTGAATACGAATTTCAACAGAACATTGATCCAATGATAGATTTAAAATCACTAAGACCTGAAGAAATTAAAGTGCCTTCAGAGAAACCTAAGCTAACTTTAATATCAGCGGTAGCAAACCAAAGAAAATTGTTGCGAGGTAAATATTTTATCTGTTTTTTTTAAATAACATTGATTAGAAATATAATCAATAATTGACAAAGGTTTGTATTCATTAACAGGTTCCATTGAAGAACAGGAATATTTTGGAGAAGTACTTTTAGGTATCAAACAAGTTATTCAAGGACACCTACATGATGTCCAGGGAAAATTTCAGGAAAGGTAAACAATCATATTTTCTAATTTATTTAATAAACAAGAAGTATTTACTTATACTCATTGTTTTCATTTATGACGCTTTCAGATTCAACAGTTTAGAAAACGAGGTTCGAAAACGGGATGAAATTATAAGTCAGCTTCAAAAGCGTATCCAAGAGTTAGAAAAATTAGGACTTTCTGGAATGAGTCCAACTGCACAACCGTCTGGAGAGACGCCTACAATAGTTCCTGAGTCAATAGAACCTACTTCTACCAGTCAGCCTATTTCTAAAAGTGCTAGCTCAGGCAGTGAAGATGCTTCTGCTGCCGAAGAAGGATTCATGGTGAGAAGATCGAGTTTATTTTCTATTTAAGCTTTTACTGAAAAGGCAAACTCTATTTTACCAATCTTATAAACGTTATTTAATATAAGTTCATCTGGATTTGAAATTGCAGAGAGGTGATTCACTAGATACGGTTTTCGCAACATCACCACCAACAGCAAGCGCTGATGAAGCAGAAAGAGATAGGTCACCAGATAATGAAGCCGCTGGTGCTAAAGAAACCCTATCACCTGACGACCTTACAGAAGAAAACCTTAGAGAACTTACGGAGGGAATCGAACTATCAAAGTTATCGTACGCAGAACTACAAAATTTAGCCGTATCACTTTCACGAACTGACAAAACATCATCGAGTAAAGAGCAATGGACTATCAGCAAATCGAAAAGATTAGATCTAAACTTAGACGGTAAAGCTGGAACATATTCGAGAAAACGTGCAGCAAAGTTGAAGCAACGAAAATCTTGGGAGGACCAGAGTGACCAAGAGAGCATGGAGATGCAAGACTTAACGAGGTTTGAAGACTTGATATTACTTGTTTAATAAGCAAAATGTATAGAATTTTAATAAATATCACAGTTTTCTTTGCGACACTTATTTTCAACACTTAAGAATGAAAAATGAATGTTTATTTCTGTTTTATACGATTGTATTTGCCTGCATTTAAAACCAAGCAGAACATACTTACAGATTAAGAAGCATTCCATCTTTCAGGCCGCTTTCTCCCCACACTACCTCAGAAGACAGGTCTCTTCTAAGCCCAGAACAGTCCAGCTTACGCTCCAGTAGAAGACACTTTCATTTCTTCGGGTCACACCTTGACAACACGAAGTCCAAGATCAAGAAAACTCTATCGGTTGACACTGGAATGCATCATACTGGGAAGAATGAAAGGAGTAAGCTATACGCAATGTTTCTAATTTAACGTGTAGTCTTTTGTTCCAAATTATTCTTCAAAATTATAAATGAAGTTCGGATAATTAGAAATATACAATATTATTACACTTTACAACAATTTTGAACAATGTATTCCATACAAAAAGGATATTTTTCATAAAATTTTAGAAAGAAATTGGGCACGTATTTGTATGCACTCACAGTCTAACTAACAACTTATCTTTTATCACTGTCATCATTGGCTTTGTTATCTATCGCACCTTTAACAAGGTCATAAATAATTGGCTCTCCACCAAAAGGCTACACGAAATGACTGCTTTTGCTCCAACTATTATTATTATTTAAATGGTAAGGCATCTGTTATTCAGAGGGCCGACCGCGGCAGCATCGCAAGTTTAGTTTGGGCTCTCTCTTCCATCGGACCCCTGCTCAAAAGCCAACGAACAACTGCAACGATGTCGTCCTCGATATGGGAAGTGATTACAGTTGGAGTGATGCGTGAGTAGCAGGAAAACTCTTTTACAGTTTATTAAAATACTTCTTCATCAGCCTGTTAGGCTTCAGCAGGCTGAAGACCTTTGCACTGCTGAGCAAAGGTCTTATCTCACATGGCGATTAATCGCCACGCCTGCTCAAGGTAGATTGGACATTTCAAACTTAGAATTAGAAATGATAAATCCCGGTTTCCTTACCGCGTTTTCTTTCGTCGTTTATTAGTGCTGTCTAAATACCCTTAGAAAGTACATGTAGCTCGGAAATTCTCAACATTCCTGACTAAGTTTCGAACCTGCCGCCTTATACACGAAAAGCGGGTAAGGCACTTATTATTAAAACTCAATTTAGAAAACGTCAAGGATCTCCAACCCAATCAGTTTTTAACAATCTCTTAATCACCGAAGTAGTCGCAATTAACCAATATATAGTATATGTATACATATTGTCTGAAAGTTCATTCAATCAACATTATTCACTTCCAGAGGATCAACATCGTCTAGCAGTGATTCAGAATCATTACCTCGCACGCCGATGTTCGAAGAGTTTGTAGAGAACAATTCTAGAAGAGGACGGGCCAGCAGCTCTAGTCATGGCAGCTCGTCACCTATTAGAGGTAGAAATTCTCATTTTGCTATTTTATCTGATGAATATTTCCAAATAAAAAAAATATTAACTTAACAATATATTCCAAAATACTAAAACTGCAGATAAAACGTCTGTAACTTCTAGTCATTCAAGTACCCCAGTTAAGAATGTCAAACTCCGTCCACTTAATTCCAGCATTACCTGGAAGTGGCGGTGACTGGGAGGTTATGATGCTAGCGGATGAACTGGAGAAGAGGGAAAGAGAAAAGGAGAGAGAAGATGCTAGAAGGCACCTTTACCCCACCACGCTAAGAGACTTGGAAGAGGTGAGATACAATTTTTTAAATTTTGATCTGTTAATAATGGGTTCACATCTCTCGAACAAAACTAGCGCATTGCACTAAAATAATTGCTTTATGTATATCCTTTAATTTTGCAGGAATCAGATACCCCTCAACGAGATGACAGTCCCGACGAGTATTCGAACATTGAAGACTCCAACTCTTCATCCACCACCCATCTTCTCTCCCAGTCCATCAGTGACGCGTCACAGCGGTCTTTAGAGACTTCTTTCACTGAGCAAACTAGCAGAATCGGGAGGGAGCCGAGGCAGAGACGTGTTGGGTCCGTGGGAGAACCGGTAAGGCTTTTGAAACCTATCTACTTAACATTCATTTGTACCAGTTTCTTTAAATTGATGTCAAAATTGTGAAAAATCGGACACAACAAATTTCTTGTAACATCAATCGTGATAAAAAGACACAAAAGAAGAACAATAGGTGCGCGAGCGGTGGCGTTTGCTTGGGGTTTGAAGTATAATATGCTTTAAAAATACTGTAATTCTTAACCTATTATCTTTCTCAACCCAAATCATCAATAGTTTATTTTCATTCATTATTGTTAAACTGCAGGAACTTCTACGTACTATATTTCCATTACATTAATTTAAAAATGGCAAAGGCAGCCACCAGGGACGTACGATTGAAACGAAACGAAATTAAAAATAATTATCCTGCTGTGATGTTCTGTTATACAATTTTGGTTAAGTCTGTCTTCAATATTTGCAGGTACAACCCGACTCCTCCTTCCGCCAGTCGCGAGGGCTCATCCTACGAGCCGCGAGCCTGGACCGCGAGACTACACCCACCACCTCCGCAGGCACGCGACGCTTCGGCTCCCTCAAAAGTGCCAGCACTGATTCGCACAAAAGACTCTGATCCGCTTGGCCGAGCGGACACGCCCAGTCCGACGCCTTTCAAAGAGGTCCAAATGAAAGAAATGTGATACGAGATACGGCTCAAAATTCTCAGGTAACTGTAAATCAAATTGATTTAGGAAGTGGTAAGAATGATCAAAACGAGAGTAAAAGAAATCAAAATGGGGGTAAAAGTGATGGAGATAAAAATAGTTTAGGTAAGGATGGTGTACGTCAAGAATTAGACGGAGGGAATGGAGGCCAAAACGATAGAGAGACTAGAAATAAAGATAATAACGAACGAGAGAATGCGAATCCGAACATATTCGATCAGCTGACAGTCAGCGGTCAATTACTCATCGTCATTATTTTTTTTGACGATGAATTTGACTATGTAGTTTTCTTAGTACTACAATAAGTTAAAATGTGTTGTGTTATGAGTGGACTATTGTATGACTGGTTCATGCTTGACATTGGACAATTTAAGGGAACATTATGTTTGGTTTTGCAATTATTGCAATCTTTGGAATCGATAAAATTTACATTAATATCTGGATTAAAAACAGTCCCAAAATTTTCTATTGTCAAGTGCGTGTCTGTGCAACTATAATAATATTTCTATTTCATCTACTCTTTATCGTAGTTCTATCCATCTATCGTAATCTATCTAGGAATCTATTGTAGATAATCTAGATCTAGCATAGCAAATAGAATATAATATTTGTTTAGTATATTAATTTAAATTATATTACCTATATATTCTAGTCTTGTTGTTTTGTGGTGCACAAATTAAATCAATCAATTAAATATATTTCTAGTATGTTTTCAAAACGTACGAAAAATGTTCCTTTTCATTTTATCTATTTTTAAGGAAAAAAATATTTTAATTGTCTAGTTATTAAATGAAGCAAAATGTTTCATAGGATCTAGTCGGGATAAGTAATTATTTTATTTTGCTTATGGGATAGTATTGAATGAATTATATTGCCGTGTTAAAAAAAAAATATTTTCCTACTTTTAATTTACTTACTTACCTCTCAAAATATGAAAAACCGTTAAGGGTATTTGTTTTGACCTTTTAAAAACAGTTAATAATATTATTCTACTTTTGTGCTATATAATCATTGTTACGAAAAATAATAATTATGTTATTAGATTTTATTTACCATAAAATCAAAAATAAATATTACTTATCAATTATATTTTGCTGTGTACCTAACAAAGATTAGCACAAGATTAAATTATTATTAAAATAATAAATGTTTAATAATAAAAATCCTATTAATTTATGAAATACTAATTCTAAGTAGATAGGTAGTTGTATGAAATATTTACTTACATAAAACAATGTCCGTTTTTTTTTTAATTTTAATATTAGTGCCAAATAACTATTTATTGTAGAATCTTTCAAAATTAATTTATTTATTATATGTAGATGTTATTTATTCTTAATGTAAATAATGTATGAAAAATATTTATTCGAATATTACTGTAAATTAGAGATTTATTATATGTAACAAAAAGATTTTAGATAATATTAATGAACTTAGATATTTTAGGTATCAATTATGCTTTACTGAAATGTGAAGTTAGATAACGATAATAAATAAATTATAATTTTTAACCCGTAAATGTTTAAGAAACTAGAGAGATTATTAAATTAATATATCGATACCTACAGTGTAAATTGTGAAGTATTCGATTGAAAAAAGTATAAAATATCCCATGGAGTACAACTCTCAATGTAAAACCTGATATCTTAACACATCTAAACTAAAAAAAAACACAGTTTTATTATTAAAAAAACAACTACCTATGTTTGTTAGTTATTAAGTACCTACCTATATCCACTTGTCTAGTTTTTCTGACAATATTTCTGCTTCATTGCAATAAAATTGGCGGCAAAATTGACAGTTACTCACCACGCCCCCGCACCACGCGATTATTTTGTATCCGATTATAATAGTCAAATAAAATTTTGCATTAAAATGAGAAATCCGAATTTCAATAAAAACATATTGTAATTTAAAATAAAACTGAACATCAAACTGGGTACAATTTTACACTTTTTAAAATGTAGGTGTATCTGGTGTCTGATCCTATTTTGTTTTTTTTTTACACAATATAAAAACATTTTTTTTCACAAATATAATTTTCAGTATATTTCGTATGTAATGCGAACTTTTTGATTTTTAATTGGTGCATTTGAATATTAATATTATAATTATTATTTACTTACTTACTCGAGGCGCTAGAGTGTATGGTTTATTGACCAATAGAATATTATTTTTCTAATATCAAGACATTTAGTCCAATGACATTTAAGCTGGCTTACACCACTAGCGCCATCTCTAAGTGAAAAATCGAAATAATTTGTTTTTTGATTTATTTTATACTAATAGTTTTTTAACAATTCCTGTTTACAATATATTATTATTTTATTTTATTTGTATCGTATGACTGTATGTTTACTACCTAATAAAGGTCTAAGTCAAACAAATTTAATTTAATTCAAACAGGAAAATAAATACACTCCTTAATTATTGAGATGGATATCTATGACGAATGTATATCTGTATATTTTTAATTAATCATTAATTATTAGTTTTAGGTGTAAACTCATACGAAAAGATGAAAATAAAAATAAATTATTTAAAACGAATTTGTGTCTTTTGTTTTTTTATATAAATGGATTCTTATTCACCCAATAAAGATGTTTATTTAAAAATAAAGTTGTAATAGTTAGAAATTTTAAAAAATATATAAATGTTTAACTTGTATTCATAACTTCTTAGGTACTGTCATTATTTTACCTATACTTGCATATACTATAAAACAGTAAAAATATTTTGTCTGTACATTTATTATTTTGACCAAAATGGATGACTGAGAAGCACTTGAAAAGATTATTTTAAGAAGATTTCCATATATTTATTACAATTACTCTAAAATTAAATTTTTAAATATTGCTATAAAATAAAATAAAATAATATTTAAAAATATAAAAGCAGGAGCCAGCCGGCAGCGGGAGCAAGGTCCAAGCTACCGGCAGTTAGGGCTCCAGAGACAGGAACCTCCTCACAATACGTGCCGTTTCAAGGAGGACTGCCTTCTGTATGAGGCCCTTGATCCATCCGCCTAACGTCAGCCTCTTAAGTTGGTTGTCGAGGCTTTTGGGGACTAACCCATTTGCCAACACAACTATCGGCACAATGATAGCCGAGTCCACACTCCACATGTCAACAACCTCGTGAGCTAAGTCAAGATATTTCAATTGTTTATCTTTCTCAGCTTTCACGAGGTTCTCGTCATGAGGAATGGCAACATCGATTATCGTCGTGCGACGCGCTAGTCGGTCTACCAACACTACCTATGTCAGGCTTATTGGCTACAATAGTCCTGTCGAATCTTATAAGAAGATTATTATTATTGTCTTTCTGTCCGTAGGTATGTTTATTCACGTTTATCTCTGAAAGTTCTAAACCAATTAGCTTGAAACTATTACAACTTGCTTTGTTTTAACTCAGAATAACATTTAAACTTTGTTTCATCAAAATCGGTTCAATTTTTTTATTTTTTTTTTTTATTTTTTATTTTTTTGACCCCCAGACCCGGAACAACAATTTGTAGGTCACACAAAGAATTGTTCCGTGCGGGAATCGAACCCGCGACACGTTGCACGGCAGCCAGTTGCCCAGCCACCGCACCAACCGTGCAGAATAAATAAAAAGTTATCGTCATTTTAATGAACTCAAGGCATGATAATGTAGCGAATCATAATGTACACCATTTTTAAATAGGTTTCTTGGGAAATTTAAAACCTAAAGAAAATATTTATCTTCATATTATAATACATACTTACATAATATTACATCTTTATTTCTTACGGGGTAGACAGAGCCACAGGTTATAAGAGCCCAAAGCCCATGTTTAGGATGTGGCTGTTAGGCAGTGATATGGAACAAGGAACCAAAATACGATGAAACGAAAGAACAGTTTTTATCAATATTAGTCGTGTTAGTTCCTCCACTTAGAACTCAAGAACGGCTGAACAGATTAAAAATGACTTGTACCTCGGACAAGTGATCCCGTTGGGTAAGTCCAATTTCGACCAAGAGTTCAATAATCGAATCAGACTTGGATGGCAGCGTTCAAGAAGATACGCAGTCTCTTCGTGCAAAATACCTCAGTACTTCAAGGCGTAAGTCGCAGTCTCTCACTGTAGGCCTTACAAAAAAGCTCAGAGTCACTCAGCGCGCTATGGAACGGGCTAAGCTTGTTGCTTCTTTGCAGGATCGAATCCAAAATGAGGAGACCCGTAAAACAAAATTCGATGACATAGCCCAGCAGACTAGCAAGCTGAAGTAGCAGTAGGCACGACACATGCTCCAAGAACCGACAGCCGCTGTGGTAGGAAGGTTTTCGAATGGAGGCCACCACGAAGGTGGCCACTCAGGGCGTTCACCCACAAGTTAGACGGACTAACTTATTAAGGTTACAAGTAGTTTCCGAGTCAAGTCATTGTGGGAGGCCTAAGTTCAGCAGTGGACGTCTTATGGCTAATATGATGATGATTATAACTATCTCGAAATCTATACAAAAGCATATACTTAGTTTAGCAAAAATTCCTTAATGGCATCCATTTGTAATAATTATGGACTCGTTTGTGCGTTGTGCGACATATTGGCACGGTTTCATTAGCTTTCTATAACGTCGAGCGTCCGGTAGAAGTAGGCATTCTACTTTTAACCAATGACACTGACCCGCTGGAGCAATCCGAAGCGGTGTCTTGACTTTCATATGGGTAACATTGTCCACCCACAGTGGTCGTTGCTCACTGGACCACTCGTGCTCTTCAAAGAGAATGTGAGCACTACGTTTACGTGGTTCTCTTTTTGGTATCATGTTGCGTTTCAATAATTTTGCTTTTCCCGCTCTAAGCCATAGACTACCTACACAGCTTAAAGTGACACCAAAGATATTAGTGAGACTCATAGCTGCAACATTAGATGAAATACCTAGTTATTTTGTCACTCGTTCAATCCAAACAAAAAAAAATCTTATGAAAAACGTAACATAAAAAATGTAACTATGATTTGAACAAAAATTGAATGTAAATTTATTATTCTAATGATGATATAAATATAAAATGTTGTATTAGCTTAGCTTTTTTATTGTTTAAGTTTGATGTAGGTAGGTATTTGTTAAGACGATTTTGTAATTCATCTGGCTTTTTTGTTCGTAATTTATCTTCTGTTTTATATTTGCAGTGTAATGTCCTTTAGTTTCTTAGTGTTCACAAAGCTGCTATTTCACTTTTTACTCTGTTTCGAAATTGAACTATTGAACGAACGCTTAGCCTAAGTTTATGTGCGACATTCTAATATTCCTTACCTATCATTCTTTAATTCTTTATATTCTATGGCAGCGTTAGATGGATAGCTGTCAATTGTCAAAAAATATAGAAATCAATAGAAGCCAAAATAATAGCGAGTCGCGTATTCAATAACAAAACAAAGAAACGACCTAGTACCTATTAGATAACGTGTTAAATATATGTCATATTGTTGTAAAAAAACTCGTGATATTGTACACAATCAAAACAAAACGAGTTTTTGCGATTCGCTTTTCGTAAGGCGTCGGAATGGCGCCTCATAGGCAACCCAGTAGTCTTTTCCAGATCTGTGTTAAAAGTTCTATTAGTCTTATCAATGCCTCTTGTTATTCTATTGAAAAATCATATCCTGAGCATAAATTCCCCAATTGTGAGCAGGAGATTAAAGAGTTGAAATTGCAATTAATGAAGCTGCTTCCAGCCAGGTAAAACATCTTTGTTAATATACCTACTGTTTATTTCAGATTTTTTTATCATCTTCTTCAGCAACTTTCCTTATTTCATAATAGTCAATATCTGTATGATACCACTCATAATAAGTATTGACTGAAACCATCAAATTATACTGTGTACTTCATTGTTTTAAAGTTAATGAATAATTATAAACATACAGCTTACACACCTACTATTAAAATATAATTGTATAAAATACTATATTTTGAGCTAATAAATATCCCCTTTTGTTTTATAAATCTGTCTCCTCAGTTTAAAATCAAAATTTCAGGATTGGCATGAATCCATAAAATTGTGTATATGAACTATTTGTGTAAAATAAAATCATTGTGCAATTTCTTCTTGGGACTCAAATGTCAAATTCAATAAAGCTTATTAGAATCCTGCATCATGACAATAACAAGCCTCAATTAAGGTATATTGTGTATGTGTGAGTGATACCACTAATGTGTGTAAAGTGCCCTCTATTCACCTTGGCTGTTTTCTTTTTCTAAATGGCTTATTGTGATTTCTTCCCTTGCTTTAAATGTGAAATGTGTTACAAGAATTGTTAATAAGCACATTGTATGTACATTTGTACAACTTTATCATCATATAGCACAATTCTATTTCTTTGTATTTTGATAAGAATACTCTGCCTTTAAGGATAGGATATGGATTCAGCCGGGGTTGCAGGGTAAGCGCAATGAGGCACCACAACCTCGGCCCAGAGCAGGTTTTTAGTCAGTAAGAGTCTGACACTCTCTCTCACCTTACCCTGGGCACAAGAAGTCATTAGATTATTTTCCCCTGACAAAAAAAAAGAATAGGATATGGATCAAGAATTTGTTCATAGTTAGCTGACATGTTTGAGCACACTGCTAGATTTACTAGCTAAATGGTGTTTTCTCAAATTTTTACTTTTAGGTACTTGAAATTCTATACCAGTTGCTTCTGTAATAAATGTGCCGTGTGCAGCCAACGCCTGAAAACTAAAATTTAGTTAGAAAGCAGAAAACATTGTATACTGCTGGAATTTAAACAACTTTAAAATGTCTTTCATAAATGACCACTGTCATTATCAGTTGTATAATTAGGCAATGCTAAGTACCTAAGGAGTTGTTTGAAATACTGATATCACTATTTTATTAATACCAACATAAATATGCACTGTGATAAAACATGCATGATAAGAATGAACAGAAGAGACAGATTTTGATAAATTCTCTATAAAAATAATTCATAATAATATTACTTATCAATTGCCATGGTTTATTAATATGGCATTCAGGAGACAATTAGAAATTTTACTAACTTGTTTTTCCATTTCCAGGTTATTCGATGTCCTCTGTTCACAAAGAACTTGTTGCGTGTACCGCGGCGATCCTCGCGTTCAGCTACTGGCACTGACGCACCCCAACATATCAATCTTCCGCAAATGCGACACCGATAATGGTATACCTCTGTCATTCTGGCTTTCTACACTCTCCACCCTAAAGCGCTTAGTCGTTCTCGATCTCAAATTCATTTGCACTGACGAAATACTCGAAGTCGTTGGCCAAAATTGCCTCTTACTCGAAGAAATTAACATTGTATCCAGAGTCGATATCTGCAAGTCCCTCTTTAATGCCTCAGTACTAATTAGGAATGTCTCGGATGCAGGTCTTAGTTTTGTCACAAATTTAAAACATTTAAGAATACTCTCAATGGATCCACCAAGGAATGAAAGAGCGAATCGTATTGGCCGCTGTGTGTCCCAAGCTGGTATCATCATGTGTGTCACCAAATTACCGTACCTGGAGGAATTACGGATCGAGTCCTGCGATATTGGGTCTACTTTAATTAGTAGTACTATAGACATAGGGCCCTTGAGTCTTCGGAAAATAAATTGTCATTTTGCTTCAGCTGATGGTGTTAGGAAGTTATTAAAAATATGCCCCTTCCTCAGAGAGTTGTCTATAACTCACTTATCCGAATACAGTAAAGATTCAATTTTAGAACAGATCCGTATTAGTGAGGCGAGGTTGTATAGGCTAGACCTTTCTTTTTTTTCCTACTCGGAATCAATGCAGCAGCTTCTTACAGTCAAAGGCAGATATCTCACACACTTTTCCCTGTGGGAAATTGACCACTCCATGACTTTAGATGCAGTCATATCGCTAGGCAAATGTTGTCCTAACTTGAACACCCTCTGTTTAATGACTCAGTCAAACTGTCTGGTCATACCTAAATATTTCCAGCGACCGAAAAAAATATTCTCAGAACTCAGGAGTCTAACATTAGGTAATGACCATTTTAGTTTACGTGACATATTGACATTTTTCTTAGAATGTACAGATAGTATGCAAAAGTTGATTTTAAAATATCAAAGACGGTCTATGATAGACGACATAATATTGCAATTGTTAGAAAAAGGTTATTTGAGAAATTTAAACTATTTGTGGCTGGATTGCACATTGGTGGTAACAACTAAAGTGGCAAAAAAGATAATTCAAATGTGTGATAAGCTACAAATATTCACAGTTGACTATTCAGTGGAAATGGTGGACATAATCCGTTATATCAATGACAACAATTTGGATTTGAAACTTGGTACATATTAACCATGTATTAATTGTAATTTATTTTGTTTTCATTTATTAAATGAATATATGTATTTTTACAAATAATTACCAGTTTATTCATTTCAATTAAAAATTTCCCCTGCTCTGAAAATAAGAATTAAAACCCATAATGATGATTTAAAATAATAAGAACTTTATTGGGCATTTGTACAATATTTACAACTTATTTAACAATGCCAAAACAATTGATAAAACAAAGTCACTAACTTAAAGCATCATAATAACTCGTCACCAAGCCATTTGGAAATTTCGACCTGACATAACTCAACTTATAAAGAAATTATTATAATAAACAATAATTTTGTTCATTTAAAACTTTCGGGTCAGTGTTTAGTCAAATTATTCACAATTGGTCATTAATATTGAATGACAATTAATTAAAAATATAAAAGTTGTCTAATTAAATACATTATTTGAATAAGGCAACACCATCACACTTAAACCACTATACTTCTTAATAAAAATAGGAATGATCTCATTACAAATAAATATTGATTTTATTTTTACGAAACACAAAATGTAACCTACATTGTAGGCACCAAAATCTGTTACTTAGCAAATTAATTGAATTCATAGGTCAAAATAAGTAGGATCTAGACGGCTGGATGCCTGTCAATCCCAGAAGAGGTAAACACCAGTTGTGAGTTCCATGTTCCTTGCAGAAGTTAAGCTGGTTGCCATATACAGAGCAAAATTGTGTAAAAAAAAATAACTTGTTTTTTTTATTTTTCCTTAATGACAACTGAGTCTCCAATTCAATGTTGTCGACTATACTGCCAGTGTCGAGTTGTGACGGCAGTTTAAAGACCCGTCGAACATTGAATTTGCGGTAGTTTGTTGTTAGTAGCTAGAAAGACAACACACTTGGGTTAGTAAACAATATTATTCCATATACTTTTGTTTACTTTATTGCTTTTTTGAAACGTCTTTTGCAAGATGTATCGATCTGAAAAAGGAATCCACTAAATTGCTTCTACCCAAAAACACATCTAATGAACCTATTTACTTTGACCTTTATTATTTTTTATTTATTTACCTAATACTTACTTAAATATTACAAGACGGAAGAAAATGCTTATTATTGAAATATCTCACATCCCATACATAATTTAAATAAATAACATAAGGACGAGTACAGTCAACTGAACTTAATAAGTATTAATACTTTAATTTCTGTAGGATTTTTTTTATAGCAACTATCGTTTTTATTTTAACATGATATACTTTCTAGTTGTTGAAAATAGCTGTAGCAGTATCTAACACACAGACAATTACATTAATAAAAAATCACAGCTAACGTGAATTAAACTTTTGCTTTGTTGATTTTCTTTGTCAGCTGTGCAACCCACAAGATTCTCGTGAATAAGAGTTCTATTGTAACTTAAAACTAGTGGATCTTTTCTCAGTTAATTAAGTAAATCGTTATTTCAATACTTAAATTCAGTAACACCCGGTTCCCGAAAGTCCGATCAATGTTAACACATTCAGTGCCCCCGACGCGTATGTGCGTGCGAGGAAACGCACATACGCGTCGGGGCACTGAATGTGTTAAAATCAATTTAATCTCTGGTCAAGTCATCTGATTGGTTGAATGCATTATCAACAACCAATCAGATGACTTGACAAGAAATTTAACAGGAGATTAGTATATTTTAGCATTAACAAGCCTTTTAGAAGTAAGTCTCACGATAGTTACTATTAAAGAAAGAATGTCCAGTATATTAAAAAAAATAAAAGTTTTGAAGTATCATCGAGATCTCTTGCTCAGTTAGTTGCTTTGAAATCGCTTTAGAACTAGGGGCATAAATTGCCAAGAATATTATGATTCAAGTTACTAAAGTTGCGTTATTGACTGCACTAGCCTAATTTTGATATTCACCACTTAATTGCATAAACATTTTTAATGATATATCCTAACTACTTCATGATTGTAACTAATTGATTTCAATTCAAGGTGTCAACTTGATTTTAGCTAGTTTTCTGAATGAAACTGATTATATTACTTTTTACGTAGATTTAAGTTGTTTCAAGTTATATTATAGCTGTACTCGTGTCAAATATCTATCTAAACTGTTCGAAATAAAAATAGAACTACTCAAAATTAATCTGGACTCAAAACAAAATCATCAACCCTTCTCTTATAGTTTATGCCTAACCATTGTTGCTCAAAATTACTGTCAATGTAGGTATCTGTTAAATAGAAATTAAGTAATTTCATTTGCCTAAGATATAATCGTCAGAATGACCAAAATAATTAACTACAAGGGAAGGGTTAAAAACTCACCATAGACAGCAAAAAACTTAAATAAGAACAGTCACAAACTGTCAACGTAATTGAACTAAATCACTTTGTCATTCATTCACTCTCTTCAATTCACTCACAGAAACTTTTTTCTGTATCTTCTGTAACCCTTTTCTTGTCATATGGCCAGCGGGTCAGTCAGGCCATTTGTATGCTATGGATCCTTGTTCTCGACCACTGGTTCCTTATCATTGTCTTTCTCGTCCTCATAAAACTCGTTCTTGGCGTCAACCATTTTGTCAGCCTCCTCTTGACTGATCCTCACATCTGGGTCAGGTTCATCTTTTATTCTATACTCTTCAGGGAAGAAGTCACCTGAAATCCATATAGTGAGATATATGTAAGTAAGGATGTGTGACGAAAAACGTATCTTTTTAAATCCGAAAGTGAATAAAAAAAATATCGTAAAGCAATACAACAAAAGAATAAGGTAAGAGAAAAATATACGTCACAATCACGCGTAAGTATAAGTGTGGGAGAGCAAAGACAACCGGCGTGAAACAACCACAGCGTTGTGGTTTGCCGTGTGAGTAAGGTTACCGGAGGCCCAATGCTATCTCTAAAAAGTCCAAAGGGGAAACTCTTATTCCCAAAAAGGCGGGCAACGCACTCGTAACTCCTTCGGTGTTGCGGGTGTCCATGTGCGACGCCGATTGCTTACGATCAGGTAACCCGAATTTTCCCAAAAAAAAACGCGAAATGGTCCTCACTCAGCATAAGCCGCGACCTTATGCGAGACAGTGTCGCGGCGCTGATTTTCAAACCATAGCCGACAATAACATAAACTTTAAAAATTACAAAATCATTATAGTCACCGCAAACCCGGCTGACAATTTAATTTTAAACGCCTTCTATCTTCCTTTGATGTTTATTATCTTACTCTAGATATGAACTAATCAATCACGGATGTAACTTTATTTTTTTTATCCTAAAATTGCCTTATTTACCTGGTACATGTGTCATTTGAACAGCGGGCGAATGCTGGCACATCTTGAGATTGTCATACACGTGTTTTGAGATCGCTTCTAAGTACTGCTTGCTGTTTGCATTATTTGTGCTGGAATATGAAAAAATACGAATTACATATTCTTGCTTTTTACGACTTATAACTTTTTTTTACAACCCCTAGCCAAGTTCAGTATTAATGATCGTTATCGATTTTGATACGAATATTTAACAACAAATTAGTATGTCGGCCGCGTGAATCTGATGACCTCTACATTTCCATACATTCGTTTGGTTTCTTGTCAATGAGAAGCAATTATCAAAAAATATTATTATCAATATATTAAAGCGATAACGATTAAATCAATACTGAATTAAGTCAATGCCAGTCAGTGCCAGTGCCAATGAAAGAGTTGAGATTTGGCACTCAAACTTGTGGTTTCCAGAGTACAATAGTACATTCCGCGGTCAGGCGAGGGTCTTAAGCAACCGAGGACGGTAATCATCAATACACACGTGTATCATACGACATTTTTCAACACACTTCTGAATACAATAATACTTGAATAAAAAACTTCAAAAGAGAAAACGAGACGACTTATGAAAAAAGTTTCGTAATGGCGGGAAATTTTAATTCGTTTTCTATGCGCGCGCATCGGCTATAGACTAAAAAATTATGTTTGTATTTTTGGGCTATTCGCGAATAGCATTTTAGCGCAAGCGTCAACCAATAATTTAAAAAAGTACTCTTTTACTCACTTGTGAATAATAGTAGGTAGGTACTTAATGAAAAAGTCACACTTTAATTATCAGGTGTCATTACGTGCCTAACTGCCGTGAGATTACAGCCACTTTATGAGGAAGTGTGTGGAAAATGAATAAATGTTGCTGATTGTTGCTAATATCACTACTGATGCTGATGCCTTAATTTTATTTTATTATGCTTACCTATTGATTTCTGGATGCAGTTGGAAGTCAGGCGCGAAGAATTCCAAATATTCCGTGTAAGGCAGTTCATTTGATATATTCTCATCGACTAGAAGTGAGGTTTCGTAGGTCCAACACCGCGCTACATTCCTTAGTGTGTAACTGTAATGAAAGAAGAATTATAAATATTTTCTATTTTGTGACAGTTATTATTAAGAACTAGCTTTTGCCTAATAACTAGGACTAATATTATAAATGCGAAACTAACTCTGTCTGTTTGTCTTTTCTTCACGCCTAAACTACTGAACCTATTTGTGTGAAATTTGGTACAGACATAGTTTGGAACTCGAGAAAGGACATAGGATAGCTTTTAAACCAAAAATCTGCAGGAAGTCAATATTCCACGCGAACAAAGTCGCGGGCAAAAGCTAGTCTCATCTTTTATCTTAAAAAGAGGAAAATTACTTCGTGACAATCAGGTTAGATTGTTAGACACTGACTGACTAAAGAGCACCCCATTCCGTCTCCTGCTTCAGGCTAGTGAGGTGATTACTGCGCTTTTTATGCTGGGACTAACGGGAAATCCCAATAATTATCGCGATAATTAATGATATTAAACAAGGAAAAATATACCTTAAACCATTTGCATAGTAATCAAAATACATCTACGATTAACACCCCTTACCGCGCTAATGAATGGCATTTCCTGTTAGTGTGGCCCAAGCATTACCCTGGGCAATAAGTTAGTAACTTACCCTCCTCCTCCCACTACTAAGGTGGGTACATTTAAGTTCTTTACGAACTTGACGCACTCCCCGTGCCCCCGAGTGGACAGCGAGAAGCATCCGAGCCTGTCACCCGCCAGAGAATCGGCCCCGCATTGTAGCACTATTGCAGTTGGACGGTAGAACTCCATTACATTGGATATTACTGGTTTGAACACCTGTAATTATTTATTTTACAATTCATTATAAAAGTCAAATTTTATTTGTGTGCTTTTTGACAATGCAGTTAGTTGGATCTGGTCTGGTCTACTGGTCTGGCCTATTTATGTACGGTAACTCAAACTGACCTTTAGGCGTCATAATATTGTAGTCTGTAATAAGGCTGACTATATTGCTGCCCATGAAGACTATTTTTTATACTGACTTGATGGTATAAGTGGCTATAATAAGCAAATTGATTTTTCTTTGTTTCTTTTCTTTCTTCAAAAAACAAAAACATCAAAATTATATTACAAATTACAATACCAGTTGTTACCAAAAATTTTATAAATTACATTGTCTTTGATGCCACAATACTATCACTGGTCGACAAAGTGTTTTAAAGGTTGAGGCATATTAGTTAATAACATTTTATTATAATATTCTAATGTATATCATTTTAATTGAATGACAATTATACATTGGAGTAAATTACTTCATTAGGAAAACAAATATGTGATTGCAGTTTCATATACAAACCTGAACATAGCTCTGGTCATCAATCCCTTCCTTCAATGGCACATTGACAGAATAGTACCTTCCACTTTCAGCTCCAATTTCATACATATCTCCGGTTCCAGGGAAGAAGTAGTTCCCGTATTTATGGAAACTGACTGTCATGACTCTGTCGGTCAGGTAGAAGGCTTCTTGAACACCATCTCCATGGTGCACATCAATATCTATGTACAACACCCTTGGATGATATTTCAGTAACTCTAGAATTGCTATTACTATATCGTTGACGTAGCAGAATCCTGGAAATTAAAAAAATAAATGTTAGTATGACCTTATATCAATTAATTGAAGTTGCAAGTTACACTTTTGACTAGATGGTTGGCGTAGAGGCTGGGCAACTGGCTGCACTGTAACCTGTTGCAGGTTCAATTTCCGCAAGGAGCATTTTGTTTGAACCACAAATTATTGTTTGTTTAGGGTCTGGGTGGTATGTGTATCTATACTAATATTATAAAGAGGTAAAATTTGTAAGTTTGTATGTAGTGGGTAATCATTGGAACTGCTGGTCGGAATCCCAAAATTCTTTCTGATTGATAGCTACAATGTTCCTGAGTGCTATAAGCTATAAAACATTACGCTACGATTAAATAGAGCCGAGCAGCGGGTGAAACGGCGCAAACCATTTTCAATGGCATAATACATATTTACAATGGTTTGGTTAGGTCAAACAGTTACTAGTACCTATCTGAACTTTTCTGAGTTGTCCTAATAGAACTAGTTTTCATATAGAATTACTATTTGAAAATAAACAATAAAAATATTTAGGTTTATCTGGTATGAAGAGTTCATGCTCACCAGAAGGCTCAAACTTCTTAGCATGATGGAGACCTCCAGACCAATTGATGGCAATATCACAGGCATTATTATTGAGCTTCATGGCACCCTCTAGTGAAGCTCCAGTATACATTGAGCAGAAATCAAATAGCCCTTCAAACACAGGGCAGTCATCACCCACATTGTAGTGCAGTAGGTCTTTAGAATAACCTGAAATTTATATAAAAAAAGAAATTAATTAGTGTCTAGTCACAGGACAACTCTTATTCATGAGAGTGCTTACATGCGGCAACATCATACAAAAATTACTGTTTCTATTTTCAATAAAAAAAATTGTATATCACAAGATGGTTACCATACAAAAAAATATTTAAAAACCAAAAATGTTTGCCACAGACACTTTTAAATTATAAAATGTTAGTATGTTTCTGTTTATGTTACAATGATAAATAGGCAAAACTCTTCCTTAAGGGATTAAGAGGAGTGGTGGCTAAGACCTGAAAGTGGTACCTGACATCAGTGACAACATATTAAAATCAATTTTGATAAAGGTTGTAAGAAGTAATTATAAAAACAAAAAAAAAATACAGATATCATTATACTTTTTAAACCCTTCAGGCTACAGTTAGAGGCTGTTCTAAATGGAATGTAGGACCTATGTACCTCTGTATCTGTTTTTTGTTCAAAATTTACTGTAAGTTCAGATATTAAGTGGTTCATTTGACATTAGGAGTTAAGCGTAATGTATACTTCTAACAAACTAAGTAATTTTGCCAATTTTCTGTAATCTATTAATTAACAGACAGTGCATAAGTAATATGTAAATGCACTTATACTAATTTACATGTCCACATAACCTTGCAGGAAGATTGTATGTTGTAGTAACATAATGTAGTACACATTATGCATTCAATTGGAATTGCGTCTAATAAGTGCTTACTCACTTTGAATGTTTTGTGGGGTCACATTTTGCAGAAACTCAATATAATCTTCGCTGTGAAAGCGGCACATGTCATGGGCACTCGCTCTGTACGGTTTGTATATTTGCATCTTTTTATGCAAGCCATAATTCAGTACCAAACTATGAGTCACCGATAACCGATGTGGTTTCATAGGGTGCCCCGGTCCGTAGTGGAAGTTCCCCACATCCGCGTTATAGAAATAAGCAACTTTATGTTGAGTCATAGTGGATAAACAAATACGTATTCCTTCAAAACCAAAATAATGCCGAGAACGACAGCAATCACTAACAAGCGTTTGGTTAGCTCGATGTCACCGAGAAGCATTTTATCCAGTTTAAGGCATTTTTATCACTGAATTACACTATTTTATATTAGAATAAGAAACTATAATAGGATTAAACTTAATCAATGATACATAGAAGTAAATAGTTCTACGCGAATAAAATAATAAAAACGAAGAAAGAAAATAGCTTCTTTTCGCTTCTGCTGTACCAAATGCCAACTTGACAATTGACGTTCATAAACTTTGACGGCCTTTCCGGAGTAGCCAAAACAAAAATATATATTATTATTTAGAAATAAAAATAGTTTACGGATCTTAGAACAATTTTGATAATCCCCCTTTTATTACTAAACTTTGATTTATTTTGAACTATTAAGATTATATCTGGCTATGTTAATAAATAATAAGAGGAAGAAGAACTCATTGTAAAAATAAAAAGCACCTGTTATAGTTTTAAGTGGAAAATTCAAATGAAAAGTTTAACATTATTTTTAGCATACCTAGCTCTCATTCACAGACGTTTCGTTTCTTTTATCAACAATATAATTTTGACACTTAGCTGCCCTAAGTACGCATCTGACTGATAGTAGGTTATTAACAAATAAAAGTGATAGAGGTAGAGGAATTTTGTCTATTATAGCCGGCCGGTTCGGTTCGTGTGACTGACTCTCGTCTCCTCAAAGTTTATTTTTTCGATTACACTTCGTTGTTTTCTATACTCAAGCAGTTAGGTAAGATTCTCAATAATCTTATAATTCAATTGTCCGATATCCGTATGTTTTATCTTAATTAGGAATACCTATAAGATTTCAATTGAGGGAAAAAACAAGCATTGATATACCGCTGGTGTGGGTACAGTTGCATTGGTTGACTTGAGTTACTTTTATTTAAATTACGTTACGTAAGACGTGGCGTCCTTTAATCTGATAAATAATGATCATTCGTTTATTGTGCTTGATTGCATGTACCTATGTATTAAAAGAGAGTGACTTATCATCAATAAAATAAAAAAAAACAAAATTTGTTATGTTGTGAAACTGGAATGTGACAGTTTTCTGCTACATGCACTACCTTTAAATAGATTTATCTAAGTACATAATTACATGTTGTTATATTATTTAGAGACTTACGACAACTACGAAAGGTTAGGTTAGGTTAGTTTATTTCTTTAAGAAGTGTTCAAGTCATTTCTGGGTTGGCTGATTAACAATGTTTAAAGAAGAAAATTTAAACTTCCCAAAACAGAGCAGGTTTTCAATTGAACTGGTACTAACAACTCGTTTGGGTGGAAAAATTGGTAGAATTTGAAAAACAAGATATCTTTTTCAAATTGTACATTGCAGTTAAACCACGGATGGATTTCATATGCCACACAGTCTGTATTAAAGGATCATTGTTGAAAATAAAATATTTTTTAATTTAGGCATTAGTACAGAAATAAGTAGTTAGTAATTTAGGCATTAGTATAGTTGTAGAGATGTCATTTTTAAGGATTTAACATTTTAAACTTACCTAAAATATAATAAATTACATTTTAAATACTATGGTAAAAAGCTCGAAAAAAAGGAGAAAATAATCTAAAAAACTGCTAGGTAGTTAGAATTTTTTTTCACTATAAGGTAGTGCAACACATTGCTTACGTTTAAATCCACAATCGCCACTATGAAGTACGATCATAATGAATTACTTAAAAAAAGAGAATATATTTTATAAGCAAAATTGTGAAATTTATTAAACAAAATATCTTACGAGCAATGCACAATATGCCATTGTGAAAATACTAGTTAAAGTCATAACAAGCAATTTATATGTTATTTATTATTGCATGAAAGGATATTATTTTACATTATTGGAGTGAATGATGAGAGTGACTTTTCCATGTTATAATGAGCATCAACTTGACAATGATGTTGATACTTTATAGATGCAAGCTGACTCCCACACTGCTAGAAGTAATTACCTTGCCGATGAAGGTAGAGTTCTCTACAAAAGTGTTTTCTTTATTATTCTGTGCAAATCAGATTAATTTATATTTTCTGTTTGTAGTTTTTGGGGACATCCATAAATTACGTAAGGTGTTTTTTTTTAAGTTTGTCGCCCCACCCTTGTTGGGATGTGAGATTTTGTTCAACCCTTCTCCACCCCCCAATATTATATGAGATTATTCAGAATACGGATTTCTTACGCAAACACGTTGGATAGGTATTGTAAAAAGAAAAAAAACTATTTACCTTGACAACTTGTTACAGTGGCATTTTTAATCAATTCTGCTGAGGGTTGTGAATGTAATAAAAAATTTACAAAACATACTTCAATTTTTAATTATGTGGTACCTACCTATATTTTTATTTCAATGAGAAAAAAAATTCTAGATATTTGTCGAGTCCTGTTCTCTCAATAGGAGATTAAATGAAATTTTCACGACTCCTCCACCCCTCCTAATCATCTCACGTAGGTACTATACCCCCCTAGCTATAGATTATATATTGATTTTGTATTTTGTGTCGTTGAATTGAAAGCCTAGCCTTAATGACAATTGAAACATTATTATGTGTGTTTTCACAGACTGATGGACAACCAAATCAGTTTATTTAAAAAAAATACACAATACATTTGTGTTTTACATATCTATCTAAAGTGTACATAGTGATTGAGATCCAACCCTAAAATGACTTTGACCTTAAAATGTATAAATAAATTGAAATAATATCAGTATGTTTTGTTCAAGAATATACAAAGTTACTTAGTTGGTGAGTCACTAAATAAATAAATGTACCTGCTACAAGTGCTCAATAGCTACAATAATTAGATAGTTAGGTAGATAGGCCATATAAAAAAAAGGATTCACCAAGACCACAGATTTAAAAAATTAATGAATACCTACTAATTTTATTCACGCCTGTACCCCACCATAACTAGCCATCAGAGTAACACTTTATATAACTAGCACACGACAAAGGCCAGTCACTCGCCGCAAGCAGCGTAAGGAGGTTGAAATCTAGTAGCATATTTAAAAAAAGAACGCCTTGTCTTTGTAAAAAAGATGACGCGAATATTGAAATGTGAAATTGTTTTGTTAATAGCAGTCAGCACTATGGTCAATTTTAGGGTGTTAGCGAGAACCATGTCGTCGATTGCAAAGAGTTTTGAATCAAACTTGGTGGTGCCTGATGTCGTGCCCAGACCCCCAGCAGCGGTAGTGTCTGTGAGTATTTACATTTAATTATTTATCGAACGTACCTATGCTTATATAAATGAGTAGGTAAGTTTTATTACTACGATCCGATAACACTTAATGGTTGTTAGGTATTATTCAAGAACTACTGATCGTGTTGTTAGATTTTATGCGCACATGAGAAAGTTTTTGTTTACATCTCAGGTAGATTTGACCTAGATTCAAATTACGATTTTCAAATTTAAGTTTGTTATAGCATTCTAGCCTTAATTAATTAATCAATCGATTCGTTTTTGAGTTTAAATAGTAATCCAGTGAATCAATCAACTTATTTAAGTAAGTAATAATGTATATTTCCTAAGTACTTCACTACCTTTCAACTTCGTTACCGTACCGTACAGACACAGTAGGTTACGGCTTACGGCACGTAGCGTCCCACGCGCGTCTCAAAGAGCAAATAGACCAGCACAGGCGGGGCCCTATAGGGCTGATGTTCAGCCGGAGTTGCGGGGCAAGCGCAATGAGGCACCGCGGCCTCCTCGGCCTAGATCAGGAGAATGAACTGGGGGAACACTTCCTCTCCTTTCCCCCTGGGCGGGAGAAGTCACTTGATGGTATCCCCACGACAAAAAAAACCGTACAGCAGGTGTTCGATTTTGTAAATTACTTATTAACATTGAATTGTCCGATATTTATCAAAAACTGTAACCCCATCTAAAACTAAAGGCTATTAGAGTTGTCAGAGTGGTTTCATCAACAGCCGACGATTATTCATTACTTGACTAAAGGCCTCTTCTAAAATAGAGGCTTAGGCAGAAGCGTTGAAGCCCACACTAAAAAAAAAATTAGGCATATCAGGTGCCAGATATGTATGTGCCGGAGTTGTTAAACTTGTAGTAGTACGTATCGTTACAGCGTGCAAATTCTGCCCTGCTTGGGCTAAACACCACCCTGTCAAGTCATGCATGCTATAATCATGCTGAAGCTGAAATGGACCACGTGAAGAAACAATTTTCCTCACTCTCAGGCATGAGGAGGTTTGCTGCCTTATTAGATCATAAAATTAAATAGGGCCCATATGCGCTGGTGCCCCAAAACTCTATGATGTACCTACGTCGGCCTGAGTAAGAGCAGAAGTAGAGACGGCGCCGTTTTTTACTCAGTGAGAGTCAGACCCACCCTTATCATCGGGGAGACAATGGCTTGAGAAGTAATTTGATAATTTTAACACTATAAAAAAGGCTCCAAATATCTTCTACATCTTCTGGGTCTGAACAAAGGCGTCATTTGCCTAAAAATCTGTTCCAAACTGCGTACACCTGTCTCCAAGTTTAAAGTCAAAATAACAATTAAACACTAACTATCAGCACACACAAAGACACCTTTTAAACTACTATTGTCTTTCGTGGCTTTGTCTATTATTTGCATTAATGTAGGCTTAGAATATGAAGGTAGCAATTCTGTTGTAATAATTGCCTATGTGTGATTACATGGTTATCTTTAATAACATAATATTTTACCAAGATATACCATAGAAGCCAAGTAAGTCTTGGCAATCTAAGTAATAGTAGGTAATATTACTTTTTAAGACAGTAAAGTCCAGACCAAACGTTTCATTGTATTAAAAAATGGGCTCGGGACAAAACCACACGTGCGGCATAATGTGATTCGGTTACTTACTTGTTTCTCAAAGTAAGCGGTTTTTTTATTTAGTAATGGACAGGCATTTCTACTACATTATAACTACGATGCAGCACGCCTACCCATAAGCAATCTATTCACTCGCGCTTTGAAGTGGCACTCAAATGATTTTACCCTTTGGGAAACACAGATTTCGGCAAAGAATTCTGCTACTTAGTGGTTATAATATGAAATATGTTTTTAGATAGATTTCGCGTAAAATGTTTCATTATTGCAATAACTAGATTTTAAAATACCTACAGTCGTTACTGGTATCATCCATAACATAGGTAATCTGGTGTTCTCAAATAATGACCTAGAAGCTAATTCAATTTAGTTCAAACGGATAATTATGATACTATGTCGTGTTAAAGCGTGAATCTTCCGGGCGAGAAAGAGGGATGGAACTATAAAAGGTGTATAGCTCCATCCCTCTTGCTCGCCTTGCATCTAAGCTTTCATGATTTTACGTATGTACTACATAAGTAGGTATACTTACGCAACACTCGGCTCTGACACAGAAAATTAGCTGCTTATACTTTTTCCTGTATACCTGTTCAAAAGTTTATATTTTTTTCAACATTTCAGGCTTTGAAAAACAATGGTTTGAAACGCCTTAACATTTTAGATTAACTACCCCAGTAAGGTAACATTCAAACAATTGTTACGGTTGCGCATTTTTCAATTTCAATACCTGCCATTTGGATCGAGGAATAAAATAGAGATAGGTATATTTTTAACGGACTGTTTAACAAGGTTGTTAACGAAGATAATAAATGGCATTACATAGGATCGCAATAAGCCTTCATTATCTCATTAAGCTCGGTGATAAACTGGACATGTCACTTATAATGACAAACAACCCATTAGTACGTGGAATAAAATCTCATTACTATTAACTCGATACGGATATGACGTACTTTACAGGTCGGTTGATTTAATGGACATATTATGTAGTCACACATACACGTAGAATTGGAATATTCTGCAATAATATATTTTTTCTACAATTGAGTGTTGGAGACCTATTCTTCGGCACAAATGGGCCGGCTTGCCCGAAATAACACCATGGCCTCTCAAACTACCTTCGTGAAATAACAATAACGTTGTGTTTCCCCTTGTAAGTGAGGTTACCGTAGGCCCAATCCCCACATCCTTAGTCCTCAAATCCACAAAAACCCACAAAAGGCCTACAACGCACTGGTAACTTATTTATTTTTTTACAAGTGTTCAAGGGTTGGCGCTAAATACTTACCATCAGGTTTAAGCCAGCTTGCTTGCCAAATCATAAAACATTTCGTGTCACGTGTTTGTCCGCGATGGACTCCTAAACTACTTAACCGATTTTATACCTATTTGATTTGCACTCCGTGTGCATTTTGATCCAACTTGAAAGATAGGATAGCTTACATCTCAATTTGTAGTCACAATATTATTACCTACCTTAGCCACAGCAACGCGTGGCTGGGTCTGCTAGTGATAGTATAAAAAAAATAGTAGATGTAACTTTTATTTTTTATTGTCATTCCTTTGCTATAACGATGCTCTAGTGTAACTGGTCAAATCAATTGATAGATAAAAATAATATTTTTAAACAAAATTCTTTTTCGATTCAAACCGTTGCCTACAGAATATAATTAGTGCTTAGTTGAGTGACACATTAACATAAAATAAATTTCAGTTCCTATGCACATTGCGCATGTTTAACAGCTCAAACCTCTTCATGTTCATAGATAGAAATAAAGAAAAGCCGTTTATTTACGTTGTGCTACTAGATAAATACAAATAAATCAATTATTCTATACTAATATTATAAAGAGGTAAAATTTGTAAGTTTGTATGTAGGGGATAATCTTTGGAACCACTGGTCGGATTCCATTCGATTTCGTTCCTGACCCTGGTCAGATTGCCAAAACTCTTTCACCGATAGATAGCTACAATGTTCCTGAGTGCTATAGGCTATAAAACATCACGCTACGATTAAATGGAGCCGAGTAGCGGGTGAAATCGCGAGAGAGTAGCTAGTATACAACAAAACATTGAGTCGCTACAGCTGAAAACGGCTAGCGCTCAACTGAATGCGGTTTCTTCTCTTCTATATAAAATACGGCCCGGCCAACGAAGACTTATCCACGAAGCTGACTTTCGCCAAATAGCTCACATCATAATCCCAATATTTATTTTCTCTTATGTCATACATAAATATTGTCACGATAAAGAAACAGAATTATCTGATATACTTACTTCTTACATAACGTATTGTACAATCTCCGAAACATCAATATTTTATCAAGATTATGTAACACGAAAAAGTATACCTATTCAACTCAAACTCAACATTTTATTTTCTTTTTTAATTTTATTGTTATGGATAACGATGATATTTAAATGTGTATTAACATAATGAAGATAAATTATCAAGATTCTAAAATGTAGTTTTTTTACTTTCTTGGTAGGAATGACTGAATATCTATACTAATATTACAAAGCTGTAGAGTTTGTTTGTATAATAATCTCCGGTTCGAATGGAACATTCTGGTTTTTGCGTTTGTTAGGTACTCCATTTATCGAAGAAGGCTATAGTCCACAAAACATCACGATCAAATGACCCGATAGTAGCTAGTTAAAAATAAGATTCGACAGAATATTCATGCAGTGATTGTATTTTTGTGTCCAATCCAACATTATAAACAATTGGACATTAGTCTATGCTGATCGTCGCAATCCGCACGTTGCTCGTGAATACTTTTCTTTTTGTGAGGGTAAAATCAGCAAATGACTTCTCCCGCCCAGGGCCGGGCGAGAGGGAGTGTCAGACTCTTACTGATTAAAAAGCCCCCTGTTCCTTCTCCTGCTCTGGGCTGAGGTCGCGGTGCTTCATTGCGCTTACCCCGCAACCCCGGCTAAACATAAGCCCTATAGGGCCCCGTCTGTGGTGGTCTATTGGCTCTTTGAGGCGCGCTCGAAACGCTACGCGCCGTACGCTCGGGCCTGGTTCTGGTTGGGCGGCGAGCTGCCCTTACTCGCCGACCGGAGACCCGCGCTTACGATGGCCGGAGATCGTCCCTTGATCCCCCTACGCCCATAGTGTCGCCTTTTGCGGCGGCTGGGGCGTGAGGAGGAGGATTGCTCTCTCACGCGGGCCACCTCCCTCTTTGCGAGCATAACTGCTTCACAGAAGGAAGAGACAGCGTCCCAGTTCCTCTCATGCTCGTGAATACTTAAGAGTCCTTTTGTGACTTGAAACTCATAGATTTTATTTTGAATAAGGGTAGTCTTTGAGGGAATCTGCACATTTGTCATTTGGGCTCTGTTCTCCTGCTAGGTAGGTACCGTTCGCGACTAACACGTTTAATTTATAACCGTACCCAAGTACTAGTTAGTTTTAAGTAGTTCGTGCACCTAAACCTATTTATGTGCTGATAATAATGAAGCAATCACGATTTTACCGTAAAAAACAAACAGCGTCTTTTGAGGCAGTTTAAAAATGAATTACGATGACTTCAGTAATTCGGCATTCATTCTCTTCTAGGTTTTGACAACACATAATTTCTGTAAGCAATTGTTCCGTGTTCACAAAACGATTTAAGTTAAACTCGAAAACCTTGATATGTTGGTCGAAAACATAATAAATAATGTAAGTACAAAAATACTCCGGTTCTCAGAAAATAATGGCCTGAGTTTCATGAGATCATCCTGTCTGATTTCAACAATATAAGTACTTACATAATAATGTTTTTATAAAATAGTCTTAAGTTTACAGTGTCTGTACAGATTCTTCTAGAATATTATTGTTATCGCTTCATTTTAAATAAGTATACAATTACTAGCGACTCGTCCCAGCTTCCCACGGATGCAATGCTGACACAAAACTCCACTATTCAATGATGATATTAGACTTCTCTTCTCTTATATATAAAAATGGATCTCAAAATGTGTTGGTAAGCGCATAACTCAACAAAGCCTGGACCAATTTTGCTAATTCTTTTTTTGTTGTGTTTGTTATTGTCAGGAGAAGGTTCTTATCAAAAAAAATATTAGAAAAGAAGAGGGGAAGTTTAGGAAAAAGTGACCCGTGACAGTGAAAATCGAGATAGTTGGACCCGTGCGAAGCAGGGGCGGGCCGCTAGTATCGACATATAAACATTACTAAAACGACATCAACATCCGTTGCGTAGTTTTAAAGGTTTAAGTACTTAAATCATAGGGATATAGAGGCCTAGGGATAGTACATAGGGATATAGGGACAAAGAAAGCGACTTGTTTTTCTTACTATGTAATGATATATATGGAAGAGAATGCCTGTGACATTAAGTCCACCTTGTACACTGATACCGTGCAAAGTGTAAATAAATAAAAAAATAAAATAAATATTCTAGGATTATTTTTGCTTATTTGGCAATGATAAATTTGCATATCATAAATTAACATATAGAAATTTTTTTATGTTATAGGATGGCAAACGAGCAGACGGATTACCTGATGGTAAGCAATCAGCGCCGCCCATGGACACCAGCAACAACGAAAGAGTTACGAGTGCTATGCCGACTATTTAGGGATTAGGATTTCGGGGATTTAGACATTAGGGAAGGATTGGGAGAGGATCCTTAACGTTCTTATAACTTATTGATCCATCTGCTAATGTATTAATAAGAACAATAGTTAATTAATCAATCTTAGTATTTTTCCTAGTTTTATTCAACATACTATGTTTTGCATATAGGTGAAATACCCAAGCGGAGTAGAAGTGAGCGAAGGCAACGTGCTGACTCCGACCCAGGTGAAGGACGTCCCCACGGTCTCCTGGGATGCCGCTCCTGACCAGCTGTACACCCTCGCTATGACTGGTTAGTGCCAAAATATTTTTCTTGTGACATTAAGTCTGTTAGAATAACTAATCGTAACAATTCTATCATTGATAGGTTTAATTTTAAGTCGCTACTAAGTATATACTATAGTTAGGTAGGTACTGCTAAATAATAATGTCAAACCAAAGTGTCCAGTGTAGTTCGAAAGGGAGGGTTCCTTCTCCTTCTCCAGGATGACGCCGCTGTACTTAATTGCGCTTGCACCAGCCACCCTGGGTTTCTTTATTGTAAGGTCGGCAAACGAGCAGATGGATTGGAAAATTTGTAAATTTGTATGTTTGTAAGTTTGTATGTAAGCACTGGTCGGATTCCCAAAATTCTTTCACTTACTGATAGGTACAATGTCCCTGAGTGCTACAGGCTATAAATCATCACGCTACAATTAAATGGAGCCGAGCAGCGAGTGAAACCGCGCGGGAGTAGCTAGTGTTGTATAATATGCGGTAGCTGGGCAACTGGCTGCCGCGCAACGTGGCGCGGGTTCGATTCCCGCGCGTGGAACAACTCTTTGCGTGATCCATAGATTGTTGTTCCGGGTCTGGGTGTGATGTGTATGCCAATTTGTATCTTTGTTAACGCACCCACGATACAGGAGAAAATCCTCCAACGTATTTTTTTTAACTAAGTACATCTTTTTCGAGTTGTCATTACCTTTCTCGCTGGGTGGCGAGAGAGGATTCTAATGGCTTTTATACAATACCTAAGATTAAATTTCGTCACTGAAACCAGTAGGATTACAGTTTTATAATTTTTATGAAAGTTTATATTGAAGGAAACGATAATTCTATACCAACCATGTACCATAGGGGAATTTTAAACATTTTAGTGACGGTGTTGGATTTTCTAACAATATTTTTGTTAGATTACTGGATTCCGATTGGAAAAATGTTTTGTAACCACATTTTGATTCGCTGCGCGCGGTCTCGCGTGACGAGCGATAGATGGCCGGTCCGAATGTTATTATAACAAAAGTTAATCAACCTATCCCGAATTACCTAAATAGATTAATTGAATATTATATAACATGATAATAATTAATTGAAATCGGCTATTAAATTAATTAATTAATAAGTTTATTATAGTTTTATTATTATTACATGAGACTACAAATTGTAACCACGAGTGCACACTTAACTTGGTTTCATTACTTTCAGACCCCGACGCGCCTTCCCGGCAGGAGCCCAAATTCCGTGAATGGCACCACTGGTTGGTAGGCAACATTCCCGGCAACAACGTGGCTGCGGGCGAGACCCTGTCCCAGTACGTCGGCTCCGGCCCCCCACAGGGCACCGGCCTCCACCGATACGTATTCCTTGTCTACAAACAGCCTTGCAAACTGGACTTCGACGAGCCCAGGCTTCCTAACACGTAAGTTTCTTTGTATGCCTTACGTCAGCAAACGAGCAGACACACCACCTCATCGTCATCATCATCATCAGCCTATTAGTGCCCACTGCTGAGCAAAGGCCTGAAGGCTGAGAAGGTTTGAGCATTAATCACAACGCTTGTTCAATGCGGGTTGGCGATTTCAAACTTATAATTAGAAATTATAAGTACAGGTTTCCTCACGATGTTTACCTTCACCGTATGTCAGTGGTGTTTAAATAATCAAAGAAAGTACCTACATATAACTCAGAAAAAGTCACATTGGTACTTGCCAGGTTTCGAACCCACACCCTCATGCATGAGGGCTCCTTAAGCTCCAGGCCACCATGACTATTCATAGACAGACCACCTGATGGTAAGCAATCAGGACCGCCCATGGAAACACTCAAAGTACCGAAAGTTACTACAAATGCGTTGCCGGCCTTCGGTACTTATTCGGGATTGAGAAGGATAGGGGATTTGAGGATGAGGTGAGGGGGGAAGAATTGGGCCTCCGACAACCTCACTCGCACAGTGACACACAACGACAACGACATTTATGTGCGAAGTTTGAAAAAAATGTCCTACTCTAAGCATCAAAATAAATAATTTATATCACTGTAGTTGAGAAGTATTCTTTGCAGCTTTGCAACAGTGTTTTCTGAATTTTTGTCCAAAGAAGAAACTCAGCTTCTGTTCTTGTAAAGAGAACGATAGAAAGACCTTTATTCAGCGATCGAAGTATCACAACAGTTTTTGACACAAATCCACCGAAACAAAAACTCAGGAATATTGACTATAGTAACTGTCTTGGCTCCCACGGCGAAATAGTAACGTATTAACAGGGTAGAAAAAAGATAGCTTTGACTTCCCTCCGGTGTTTCAATTAGAATACGAATAAATAGTCCGGTCAATTTAGACATTCGAAGTTACATAAAGTCCCAACAAGCTGAATTTCTGTGAAATTGTTCAAAACATTATATCTCAGAAGCGGTGGGTCATAAGAAAAAAGTATTGGTACATTTTTTAACCGACTTCAAAAAAAGGAGGAGGTTCTCAATTCGACGAGTATTTTTTTTTTTTTTTATGTATGTACACCGATTACTCGAAGACGCCTGGACCGATTTGCAAAATTTTTTTTTTATTCGATAGGGTATACTTGCCATTTGGTCCCATTGTCATGAGGTCAGGACCTGATGATGGAATCCTGGAGAAACCGAGGGGAACTTTCGAAAATTGTAGGGGCGAGTAGTTTTTTTGTATGATGTTTAAGTAGGCCTTTAACAACACTACAACTTGACGAAGGTCGAAGTCGACCAGATGTTGGAGCTGGAAGACAGTCGAGGGATCTCCTTGACTTTTTGGAGCAGTTGCCTTGTGTTTGGGCTTGAATGATTCGTATTGGCGAGCACTTTGCACCAGACTTGGTCGTAACTATCATTAAGGGTCTGATGATGAGAACGAAGGACAGCTCAGGGAACTCCTGAACGGTTTACACTAACTACTTCGTGTTTGAACTTAATTCATTTATGTTGATGAAAACTTTGTACCTGTATGGATTATAACAACTGAAGGTCTGCAGTGTACCTGACGATGGAGACCATTGACAGTCGAGGGAATTCCTCAACGATTCATAGCAGCTTCCTTGTGTTTGAGCTTAATTAATTGGTTTTGATAATAACTTTACATCTAGATGGATTGTGACTATCATTAGAGATCAAGACGAAGGACAGTCTAGGGAACTCCTCAACGGTTTACAGTAGCGACCTCGTGTTTGGGCTTAATTTGTTTATATTGATAAGAACTTTCCCTCTCCTAGAGAGGTGGCTTGTGACCCAGTAGTGGGAACATTAAAAAGGCTGATGATGATGATGATGATGATGATGATGATGATGAGAACTTTCCCGTTTCTTGGGATCTATATTTTTTAATAGAGCGGCTCCTTTCGCAAGCCTACACATAGCTACTTAAAAATATATATACTATTCAATATGTTAATTTATATTTAAATTGTTACTGTAGTTTACAGAAGAACTTGTAACAGACACTAAAAAGTAAAAAATAAAAAAAACTACGTTTAAAAAAACCGACTTCAAAAACAAAAAAGTGTCAAATAATTAAAATAGATATTTTAATAGCACTCTTACGTACGCGAAGCTAATACTTTAATATTAATAATAAAATACTATCAATTCTATGTGCTACCTATTCATAGGTTTGAAGTCGGTGCCAAGCCCTAAACAGAATAAAACTAAATGAGAATTAAGACTGTTTAACTGCTAAAGGACGAAATTTCCACAACCAACAACGAACCTACCTACTACTACTTTTAACAACCCACGAGTTACATTAAGTACGAGAAAACTTTTAGAATTCATATTTCACCCGAATATCTTTCTAAGTTATATATAATTTCGCATGTAACGAAACAATATAGACTTCTGATTCTACGCTAAGGCCATCAATCAAATGCTTATAATATTATGTATTAGGCTTGGCACCGACTTTAAACCTATGAATAGGTAGCACATAGAATTGATAGTGTTTTTTTATTAATATTAAAGTATTAGCTTCGCGTACGTAAGAGTGCTATTAAAATATCTATTTTAATTATTTGACACTTTTTTGTTTTTGAAGTCGGTTTTTTTAAACGTAGTTTTTTTTATTTTTTTTGTAGATAATTTTATAAACTACAATTTTTGTCGGAGATACTTTTATCATAAAACTTACCGTTTTGCTGCAAATCGAGAAAAACTCAATTTTCTGACCTTTGACCTTGAATAAAAATTTTTCCTTACAGGGGAATGATGGGGAACTTTTAGACATTGTTTATTGACATTACGTTTGACATTACGTTTTGAACAATTTCACAGAAATTCAGCTTGTTGGGACTTTATGTAACTTCACCCTCATTTTTTGGTCTAAATTGAACGGACTAAAAGCTAATGAATAAAATATAATTTTCAGGTCAGGTGAGAATCGTGGTAAGTTCTCGATCGCTAACTTCGCCAAGAAGTACAACTTGGGCGATCCCGTCGCGGGCAACTTCTACCAGGCTGAGTACGACGACTATGTGCCCCTCCTGTACAGGCAACTTGGCGCATAAGCGAGCACCATCGAGCCTGCAATAAAAAACATAAAAACTAACATCAACACAAAATAAATGGAGTAATCATGAGGACTTTGTACACTAATATTCCACTAAGTAATCGTCTGTGGTAGATAAATAAATATATTTATCAGAACATGAAAACCTGAGACACATTACCATAGACTACATTTATTTGAATGCCAATTCAAGATTTTCATGTCATTGAACGTATGCAGCTGATTACGTTGTTGCTGTACTAAAGCACATTTTGATTCCTCCGTTTATTTGTTTCTCCTAAATATCCTGTTCGACCAACTTCCATTCTGTATAACTATAGATGTAAGTAATACAGTATAGGCATGACCTTTAGTCTAGAGTCGTTTTTCGAATTGTATAAGCATTTATTATTACTGCGAATAATAGATTATTCCATTTTTAATATCAACATTTTATCCTATCCGCATTTTTTATGAAGTCAGTAAAAATAAATCGTATTTTCAAATTCATTTTTTGGTTTGGCTAAAGGTATAGTAGCTGCGCTAAAATTTTGCTCATTAGTTACTCAAAAGTTATCGCCACATGGTGGTATTGTGTTAATAACCTAGCATAGCTAAGCCTAAGCATTGTTAACATCTTATCAAGCATTGCGACTGTTAAAGGTTTTCTATATTAAGTGAAATTTTGTAAGCGGATGAAAATAATATCCTAGGGATTAAAGTGGTATGCACTTTATTTCGTTGTTTTATTTACACTCATCGCGTTCGTGACGCCCATTTTCAATCTCAAATGCGTTTTGGTCTCCGTAACGCACCTGTGGTTTTTGAACAAGTAGCCAAGTGTTGCGGCCTCTAGCCATCACAAATGCCGTCGTGCCCTATGTGAGAGATAAATGACTATCATTGGCAATTCTGACATTGAAGAGACCTAAGGGTGGATACTCCCGAGTGGAAGCAGCGACTGTCGCAACCGAGGGCTGGGCACGATATTATAGCAGCGGTAAGACCCCTCTTTGAGGAGTGGCTTGAGAGACGCCACGGCGTCCTCACCTTCCGCCTGACGCAGGTCCTTACCGGGCACGGCAGCTTCAGTAGGTTCCTGTTTCGGTTCCAGCAGGAGGAAACACCCGAGTGTCGTCATTGTGAGGACCACCTAGAGGATACGGTGGCGGTGTGCCGGTAGTCGAGGCCATGGTGCGGAACGAGAGGAACTGGGAAGCTGTCTCCTCCTTCTGTGAAGCAGTTATGCTCGCAAAGAGGGAGGCGGCTAGCGTGAGGGAGCAATCCTCCTCCTCACGCCCCAGCCGCCGCAACAGGCGACACTACGGGCGTCGGGGATCAAGGGACGATCTCCGGCCACCGTAAGCACGGGTCTGCGGTAACTCGCCGGCCGACCAGAACCAGACCCGAGCGTACGGCGCGTAGCATTCCGCGCGCGCCTCTAAGAGCCAATAGACCAACGCAGACGGGGCCCTATAGAGCTGATGTTCAGCCGGGGTTGCGGGGTAAGCGCAATGAGGCACCGCGACCTCGGCCCAGAGCAGGAGAAGGAAAAGGTTTTAGTCAGTAAGAGTCTGAGAAGACATCTAATGATTTTGCCCTCACAAGAAAAATTTACTAATTTAAAAAAAAAGTTTACTACTACACATGACTACTACTTACTACCTTAAAAATGACACACACAAACAATAAAAACAACACAAAATGCTTCAATTTAGATCACTATGAAAAAGATCACTAAAATTGACAACAATCGTAGTACCGATAAAAAACACGTCCGTATCCTTCACCACTACCAACGAAAGTCCCTCATGTGTTTTATACAAGTTTCAGAGAAAAGTACAGTTTTTGACATTTGGATAAAAGTATTGAATTTGACTAGTTGGAAACTACAGGATTAACAATTAAGTACCATACAGGCAAATATCAAGTACATAGGAATGACATAAAATGATCCTGTCCAAGGCCCAGCAGCAAGAAAAAGGGACGCTGACAGCACACCACGTCTTTAATACGTTTTTTTTTTCAAAGGAGGTATGTTAGAAGGAGGTTCGTCGTTTTCACTCGAAGGGGGTTAAATGGAGAAATATCTTAGAGTTAATATTGTTTATTTAAACCACAATATTAAAAAACTGTAACCATGTACAATCATTCGTAAACTATGATCATCATAATATTTTGTATCTAGCAAAATAAAATTAAATCAGTTTAAATGCCTAATATCTCATACAGGACTGGCACGTAGTCGTCGTACTCAGCTTGGTAGAAGTTGCCCGCGACGGGATCCCCCAAGTTGTACTTCTTGGCAAAATTGGCAATTGAGAAGTAATCGCGGTTTGCTGTTGTCCTGAAATGATGAAGGAATTGGGTTTGTACTATATACCTAGTTACCCGTTGCTGGTGATATTTAAAGTGGAATTCTACTCTCAGACAACCATCTATACCCAGAGTATATGGTAGTGGTGTCCTTGTAAACGCGCGTATCCAGTTTTAGTTTAGGCAATATTGCTGGGCAAGAGAGTCCGATGCTCTTGCACTTTTGGGAATAGAGTCTGATGTTCTCTTCTTTCCTAGTAGGTATTAGAAGGAGTTGCGCTTCCGGTAACTTATGTAAGTCACACGGTAAAACACAGCATTGTTGTGAATTATCAATCAAAAAGTTGAATTGGCTTTGGTCGTTCTATTACCATTTCTGGATGGAACTAAACCACAAGACAGTAAGTGGTATTACTAGTACCTACATTATAAGTCTACTCACAAATTAATCCTGGGCTCCTCGAATTCCAGTTTAGTAGGTTGTTCGTAAACTAGGAACACATAGCGATGCAGTCCACTGCCAAGTGATGGTCCAGCACCGAAGTACTGCATGAGCTGGTCTCCTGCCGTGATATCGTCGCCGGGTACGTTGCCTACAAGCCAGTGGGCAAACTCCCCTACTACTGGCTCTGCACGGGAAGGGGCGTCCGGATCTGGAATTAGAATAACAATATAACATTTTTTACTAACAAAATCGTTTGGAGTATTCGGATTGGGAAGGGGAAAGGATTACGCCTCCGGTAGGTAACCTCTCTCACACAGAGATACAAAACGTAGGTAGGTAATCTTTGTTTCACTTCGGTTTTTTGGGAAGCCGTGGTGTCACAGCTATCGAGCAGGTCCATTCGTGCGGTAGCACAGCTCTCCCACACTTCTTATAACACTTAAATTAAATTAAACATCTTGTATTCGGTAGGTACTCACCCGTGTTGACAATAGTATAAAAGAAGTCAGGATTTGCATTCCACGAGAGTGTGGGGAGGTCCTTCACCAGGGTAGGGGTCAGCACGTTGCCACCATTCACTTCCGCACCACTCGGGAATTTAACCTGGAATTATGAAACAGAATAAACAAAGTTTACCTAAATTTCCTAGAATAGGGTATTTTATTTTTGTTTTATTTTACATGTCCTTAAATAGAATTTCTAATAGGTAGGTACTTTAGATAAATTCCTCCTATAGGTTCTAGATCTATTATTTAGATAAACTCTTCATCTTTAGTTATAGTCTTTAGTAGCTATATTTTCTATCATTAAAATCCAAATCCAAATCGAAATCCAATTCTAAACTAATTTTATAAATGCGAAAGTAACTCTGTCTGTCTTTTCTTCACGACTAAACTACTGTACCGATTTGTGTGACATTTGGTACGGACATAGTTTGAAACTCGTAAAAGGACATAGGATAGTTTTTATCCCCAAAATCCCCCGAGAAGGGGAACTATGTATGTAAGTTAAACCAAATATCTGTAAGTCACTATTTCACGCGAACGAAGTCGCAAGCAAAATCTAGTAGTATTGTAAATATAATGGTAGCTAATTTTACATAAACTTTACGCAAACAATTATCCGACCAAAATCGCGGGAAATGTCAAAAAGGACAATATGACACAGAGATCAAGACTCACGGTCAAATATCCTGCAGGAGCCACAGATAATACATCGGGTACTACTTCATGTTCCAAAAAGGTTTGAACTATGTCTGAGGGCACTGGGGATGCAATTAAAATGTTCACGTACACAAAAAGAAGAAGGACACACAACCAACGCATCTTGGTGATGATCAGATACAGATAATAAAAAACAAATGTCAAGTTATTTTTATATGTTTTATATTTTATCTTAGAACCTATCTTATCGTTAAAATGACAAAAAATGATACTATGACGTTTATCCATCTCTCTCACATGATCTTTGATATGAAAATTAAATTAGTGTTAAGTTAAGCCAGCAAATACTTACGGTTGACGCAGTGGTTGGAACAGCAGCTGTGCAACGCATCACAGGTTCGAATCCCATACCGAACAAATTTTTGTGAGCCTACAATAATATGCTTAGCATTGTTTAGTACGTATTGGGCAATGATAAGAGATACTTATACCATAATCGACACATATGTGCTTAGTGAAGGCTTCAAAGCCTCGAACGTAAGCAGTGCAAAATGTGGACGAATTGCACAACTTGATTCCCCTCAGACCTTCCCATCAATTTACCAAGGCCCACTCCTGTATATACTTATATAGCATACTACAGCTTCACAGAAAACTGGCGTGTAACAACCACAGCATTGTGTTTTGCCGTGTGAGTGAGGTTACCGCAGGCCCAAACGCTCTTCCCTCCCCCAATCCCTCCCCAAAATCCCTGAATCTTCGAAATCCTTATTCTGAATAGGCTGGCAGTGCACTAGAAACTCCTCTGGTGTTGCGGATGTCCATGGGCGGTGCCGATTGCTTACCATCAGGTAATCCGTCTGCTAGTTTCGTCGTTTTACGCCGGATTTCTGTGAGGTCGTGGTATCACTGAAGCTAAAGCATGGCTCCCCTACTACTTTATATAGATATAGATAGGACAGGATAAGATATTATAAGACATACCGATGGGATATATTATGGTAATCGTGATCCATCAAAATGTACGTATCACCAGCTAACATATATATATGTATTTTTTATCCTCTTCAAAAAACATGCTCCACATTAGGATTTTCTTCTCTGTCGACCCGGAACAACAATTTCCGGATCACACAGTGTTTGTTCCGTGCGGGAATCAACATCCTGCGACACGTTGCACAGGAGCCCAGCAACTACGCCAAAAGATCTGATATCTGGTTGTAGCAAATTGACAACTTGTGTCTATTGCACAATCCAATGCAATATTTTACACTTTATTGGTGTTTTTATTTTCATTTTCAAATTGAAGGTTTTGTTTTCAATAACTGAAGCGTGTCGTGTGCAAATCACTAGTACTCGTAGTTGATAGTTGTATCTATATTTTATTTCACAACATTATGCCAATAATTTGATTTAATGAAAAGTAGACAGAGCCTTTTTTGTGATAAAAAACTTTGCCCCACTGCGCGCGGAGCGCTACACGACGTAATATTTTGATTACTTATTTTTGAAAAAATACGAATACCTACTATTATATATAATAATAAGTCGGGGTTTCCTTCCCGACGCTATTACTTCAGAACGCACGAACCAATTTCCACGGTTTGGCATTCGTTAGAAAGGTTTCGGGCTCCGTCAGGTTAATAGCTAAAAAAACTCAGAAAAAAATTAACAGAAAAGCGGGAGCTTGAAATATTGTAAAATCGACATGCACGCGGGCGGAGCCGCGGGCGAGCGCTAGTTTAGTATACGATTTAAATGACTGAAGGTGTGATTATTTTTATAAGTTAAAATATTTTTTGACAATGGAAGGTAGCCGATTGCTCCCAACCTACGTCACGTTGCATATTGCCCAGCGCAATGCGCAAAAAAGTTGCAATTAGGAAAAACATTTTGAGAAGCACTGGAAAAAAGACGCCTTCCAGAGCAATCACTCCATCTACCATAATTTGCAAATCATTACATAGCTACGTTATCTTCAAGCTTTTACGTACATAATGTACAATTTGGAGTATTTCGGACATAAGTATAAACAAATATTGAGTTTGTAGATAATCTCAACTCATTTCACACATTACTGGTTTGGTATCAAGATGAAGTGGTTTTGCGTGGTTTTGTTTGCCATCGTGAATAATTTTGTTAAAGCAAATGTGACTAATTCTTTTATCAGCAACGAAATAGTGCCTGATGTGGTTCCCGTTGCCCCATCGGATAGGGCGGATGTAAGTTGTTATTTTTGATCTTCGAAATAAGAACAGATTTACATTTCAACTGTAATATGAAGTCTCCAAATGTTTACTGTTTTTTTTTTTTGGGAGGGGAGAATCATCCAGTGACTTCTCTCGTCCAGGGGGAGGCGAAAGGGGGTGTCAGACATTTACTGACTAAAAAACCCCGTTCCTTCTCCTGCTTTAGGCCGAGGCTGCGATAGCTTATTCCGGGTGTTTCTGTTTTTGACCGGATTAATAGTAATTGTAACTTAGCCCCATGTTTTTTGTTTGTTAAGTCATAAACGCCACTGCCCAGTAAAGAGTCTAAGGAACGGTTCGGAACTCAGCATGAGTTTGTCGACTGAGAATTTCTAGGCAATAAGCTGACCTGCTATTAGGGGCTTAAGACCTAAGTTTTGAAAATAGGCGTGTCGTTTAATATATCCATCTATTTTGAATTGTAACTATCTTGAGACTTACCTACCTGAATGAATTGAGAAAAGCCCTACTGGTTCCAACTTCATATCACAATGTGATTAGGTATAAGTCTTAGAATACTTCAAGAGCAGCGTTCTGTGTTCTCAGGTAATTCAAGTAATTTAGTTGTGAATAAAAAAAATTGGTGTAGGTCCCTTAATTAATATCCCCCGTTGGAGAACAACAGCGTGATGTTATGTTATGTAATGTTATGTTTATATTGCTATGAGACGCATGGAAACAAATAATGCCAAAAAGGTTATCTCAAAACATTTTATTACATGTACAATTAGTGTGCATTACGACGCAGTCTATTTATATTTGTAAAGCAATTAGCTAAGATTCTTTAATGTTAAATGTATTTTTTGGCATGTTTGTTTATGCCTTGTAGTGATTTACAGACAGATTATCTGATGGTAAGCAATCAGCGCCGCCCATGGACCACACTGCAACAACAGAAGAGTCACGAGTGCGTTGCCGATCTTTTGGGGATTTAGAGATTTTGGGATTGGAGCATTAACGCGGCGAAATACAACGCTGTAATTGTTTTACGCCGGTTTCCTATGAGGCTGTGGTATCATTCCGGTCGAATTGACCCATTCGTGTCGGAGCATGGCTCTCCCACACTTAAATGTGATGGCAGAAGTGTGTTGTAGAAACGGACGAAGGGACTATATTTTTCACAGATGTTTTTTTCACCTTATGTCAATGGTGTCTTATTAATCATAGAAAGTACATGTAACTCGGAAAAGTCGCATTGGTACGTTTGCCAGGTTTGAACTCGATTTTTTAATTTTAAGTTTGAAGTCGCCAGTCCGCCTTGAGCAAGCGTGATGATAAATGCTCACACCTTCTCCATGTGAGAAGAGGCTTTTGCTCAGCAGTAGGCACTTCTGACTGGGCCCTATAGGGCTGATGTTCAGCCGGGTTGCGGGGTAAGCGCAATGAGACACCGCGACCTCAGCCCAGAGCAGGAAGCTTTGGTAGGTTCCTGTTTCGGATCCAGCGGGAGGAAACGCCCGAGTGTCGTCATTGTGAGGATCACCTGGAGGACACGGTGGAGCATACGGTGGCGGAGTGCCCTGCTTGGGCTGAGCACCGCCGTGTTCTCGGGGAAGTGATCGGCGGCGGCGACCTCTCGCGCCCGGCCTTAATCGAGGCCATGGTGCAGCGTGAGAGGAACTGGGAAGCTATCTCCTCCTTCTGCGAAGCAGTTATGCTCGCAAAGGAGGAGGCGGAGCGCGTGAGGGAACTATCCTCCTCGCGCCCCAGCCGCCGCAGAAGGCGACATTCCGGACGTCGGGGATCGAGGGATGATCTCCGGCCACCGTAAGCGCGGGTCTGCGGACGGCGAGTAAGGGTAGCTCGCCGCCCGACCAGAACTGGACCCGAGCGTACGGCGCGTAGCGTTCCGCGCGCGCCTCAAAGAGCCAATAGACCACCACAGTCGGGGCCCTAAAGGGCTGATGTTTAGCCGGGGCTGCGGGGTAAGCGCAATGAGGCACCGCGACCTCGGCCCAGAGCAGGAGAAGGAACGGGGGGGTTTTTAGTCAGTAAGAGTCTGACACTCTCTCTCGCCTTACCCTGGGCGGGAGAAGTCATTGGATGATTTTCCCCTGACAAAAAAAAAAAAAAAAAAAAAAAAAAAAGCCCAGAGCAGGAGAAGGAACAGGGGGGTTTTTTCAGTAAGTTAGTCAGTAAGAGTTCGACACTCTATCCCGTATGGGTAATATGTCATTTGATGATTTTCCCCTCACAAAAAAATGGGCACTTATGAGCTGATGATGATGATGACATACTACAGTGCATATCGAATTCAGGTGCTGTTTGAAGTGAATAAACATTTTGTGAGGACTGGAGAAGGCAACGTACTGACACCGAGTGATGTAAGGAACCCGCCTATATGGGTGCTATGGAATTATACTACCAGCAATTATTATACCCTCATGATGATCGGTGAGTTTCAGTGTACTGAACTGGTGAAAATATATCTATACTAATATTATAAAGAGGTAAAATTTGCAAGTTTGTATGTAGGGGGTAATCTTAGGAACCTCTGGTAGCTACAATGTTCCTGAGTGCTATAGGCTAAACCATCACACGCTACGATTATGGAGTCGAGCAGCCGGTGAAACCGCGCGAGAGTTGCTAGTTAATAATAACTGTATGGTTAGTATAGATGCTGTGAGAAGCTAAAATAAGATATCATTGACACATTTTTTTATGTTTTATACCATTTTTTGTCCTTTTCTATGTGATAGGTCGGCAAACGAGTATTCGAATCTGATGGTAAAAAATCAGCGCCGCTCATGGACTCCCGCAATAGTAGAGGAATTATGAGTGCGTTGCCGACCTTTTGGGGATTAGGGATTGGGTTTTGGGGGAGAGGAAGAATCGGGCTCCCGATAACCTAAGGCTAAGAACTCACGGAGCGATTTTGAACCGTGCCCGCCGCGGTAGCGGAACTGCGGTTTTACTTCCAAACTCACGAGACCGGTTATTTGCGCGGTTACACAGCCGCCGCGGTTGCGATCATCGCCCGCAAACGTGGCGAGCGATGATCGCAAGATTGCAAGACGGGCGGTTACCTTCACAGAAGACCCGCCGGCCCCCGCGGTCGCTCGCCAACCGATCGCAAAGCGCGCGGGTGCCACCCGCCGAGGCTGCGGGTAACCGCGGCCCGCGCGATTCTACTAGTTGCCCGCCGGTACAGCGGGAGCCGCATACAACCTCGTACACCGCGGGCGTAAAACGCGTCGTGAAATGTGCTTTAATTTTTTATATAAATATTTGAATTCTACAGAAGCTGCGGGCCCGCAACCGCAGCGGACACGGGCGAAAATCGCTCCGTGAGTTCTTAGCCTCAGGCTAAGAACTCATGGAGCGATTTTGAACCGTGCCCGCCGCGGTAGCGGAACTGCGGTTTTATTTCCAAACTCACGAGACCGGTTATTTGCGCGGTTACACAGCCGCCGCGGTTGCGATCATCGCCCGCAAACGTGGCGGGCGATGATCGCAAGATTGCAAGGCACACCAGAAACGAGCCGTTGCGTTATATTTACTTCACAGAAGATCCGCCGGCCCCCGCGGTCGCTCGCCAACCGATCGCAAAGCGCGCGGGTGCCACCCGCCGAGGCTGCGGGTAACCGCGGCCCGCGCGATTCTACTAGTTGCCCGCCGGTACAGCGGGAGCCGCATACAACCGCGTACACCGCGGGCGTAAAACGCGTCATGAAATGTGCTTTAATTTTTTATATAATTATTTGAATTCTACAGAAGCTGCGGGCCCGCAACCGCAGCGGACGCGGGCGAAAATCGCTCCGTGAGTTCTTAGCCTCAGTCCGGTCGAACCGTCCCATTTGTGTCGTTATTGTATTATTTTTCGGACTCGGCGGAGTTCGGAGAATATACTTTCTACCTTTACTGTCTTTTTTCTTTCTATTAAAGTAACGTTTATAATTATTTCTATTCGGAAAAAATAACATAAAACAGCCATCAAGACGCAGTCAGTTAGGAGTATTTTCTAAGGTCTCAGTGGCTAATTTAACTACAATCCCTAAATCACCTGTCAATTGTGGTGATTATGGCAAGCCTTTGATACCTTCAGATCTCTTAAAGTGAGGTTTATGTGAAAAACTAGTGCTGAATAATTATTATAGTTATAATAAACTGTTTTTTCTAGATCCTGACGCACCAACCCGACAGGACCCAACTTACCGTTCCTGGCTGCACTGGCTGGTTGTGAACATCCCTGGTATCTACATCCCTAATAGAGGAGAGACCCTCGTAGAATACGTCGGAGCTGGTCCTCCTGAGGGCACAGGATTGCATAGATACGTATTCTTAGTATATGAACAACCTGGCCTGATGGAGTTTCAAGGAGCTCCCGTATCTACGAACCGGTTTGTAAATTCTTCAATTTTGTGAATCACAAACACCATTAATAACACTAGGATGGTCAGATCCTTCTGATCTGATCTTCTGTATTTCGAGGAACCACTGTGTCATTTCTTTTTGTGGCAAATAGTCTATTTATCGAAGAGTTTATGGGGCTATAACATCTTCTGGATAAACAAGGCCATAAAACATCATGCTTCGACCAAAAGGAGCCGAGTAGCAGATGATACTTACGGTCACAGCTCATTAAACCACCCGACACCCTCTCCTCATGCGGCTTGTATCCTTTATATGATGTTGTATGTCTGTCTACACTATTATTAAAAAGAGGTAAAATTTGTAAGTTTTTATGCAAGGGAAAATCTTGGACACAGCTGGATAAATTTCTAAAATTCTTTCATGGATAAATAGCTACAATGTTCCTGAATGCTATATAGGTTATAAATTATACTTGATTTACGTTGTTTAGTGCTACCGCTTTAAAACTGCTGTTTTTAATCCCGGGTACAATACTTTTATACGCGGGAGAAGCTGCTGACTCTGTCTTTGCGGAAGCTAGTATAAATTAATACAAAATCAGAATAGATTTATAACAATGTAGGTACAAATTCTACTTCAATTTGCAGTTTAAATTTTAAAGAGTTACAAAACCTTATGATCCGAGAATTCTTGTACTGAATAATATCACTTGTGTAGAAGTAATTATGTACATTTTATCAGGCTAGTCAAGCAGGTTCTTCGAACAGTTTCGAGTAGGTTAAGTAACTTTCATGATTAGCCTTTTTTCCAATAATCATCAACCTCTCCCGCCCAGGGTGAGGCGAGATAGGCTCTTACTGACTAAAACCCGCCCCCATTCCTTCTCCTGCTCTAGGTTGAGGCCGCGGTGTCACATTGCGCTTAGGCCCGGCGCCCATTATCGGGATCGATACAACTGAGGATTTTAGGTGGCAAATAGCAATATACTATAACATGATGGCAATAAAGTAGAAATTTCCGTAATAGGTAATATGTGGTCGTAATAACAAAAATACCGCTTCGGTATGCTTGAGGCTGGTGTATCGGCAACCTTTGGTACGCCGCCAGCGCCGAGGCACCACTTGGGGGATAGTTTGCCCTTCTGGGCGAGGAGAGAGAGACAAATGGCGATTTGCATTATTTGACTCATACACATCAACACAATCGAGGTAATTGCTGTGTGTACCGGTTGTTTGTTGCCACAGAATGTCATGAGAAATACGATATTGAGATGCTTCTTCAAGCTACTGGACGGTGCGGCATCCTTAAGAACGTCTCATCATCCCTAAGAACGTTGCAGCATACCAGAGCGTAATTACCGATACCTAGTGTGCGCTTGCATGAAGGATGCCGAAGGATCGTTTTCCTTGCCAAAGCCGATAATGGGCGCTGGGCCCTACCCCGCAACCCCGGCTGTCCATGATTGGCCTGTGTTCGGTGTTGTCTTTTTACTTTTACTTTTTTTTACAGGACAACAGCTCACCGTGTTTCATTCTCTGCTGTCGATTTCGCCAAGAAATTCAACTTGGACAATCCTGTAGCTGGTGACTTCTTCCAAGCTCAGTATGATGACTACGTGCCTACCCTACATAGACAATTGAAGGGTGAAGACAATGATGTTGGAGAAATAGCGTCTAATGCACAAACAACGATCAATATGAATTCAATCTTATTACTTAGTTGCATAATGTTCATTTTTAAAGCGACGTAATAAGTGGAGTGGATACCGATTTTCAATGTACTGGTGTAAGCTGTAAAATTATATATATATACCCATGTTTTTGTAAATAAATAAATTGATCTGATTTCGGCACTCAGTGCTATATAGACATGTAAATTGCATTGTGATTGCCAGTATATATAAAAATATGAAGTTGAATGTAAATCCACACAGTTATTTGATGTCCATTAAAAAAAAAAAAAAAACATTTCCCCACATTAAGATTTTCTCCTGTGTCGTGGGTGCGGTTACAAACATACAATTTCACATGCACATTACACCCAGACCCGGAACAACAATTTGTGGGTCACACAAAGAGTTGTTCCGTGCGGGAATCGAACCCGCGACACGTTGCACGACAGCCAGCCCATCCACCGCACCAACCGTGCAGTCAATTAAAAAATAAATATTGATTTAGTACCCACAAACACAGTCGCTACGTATTGATACACAAGAATACATCAGTCCTTTAAGAAGACTTAAATATATCCATCAGATGGTCATGACAGTGCTTTAATCTTACTAAAATTATAAATGTGAAAGTTTGTGAGAATTTACGGATGTGTGTTTGTTATTCTTTCACGCAAAAACGGATGGGCTGATTTGATTGTAATTCGGTATATAGATAATTAGATAGGTGATACACTAAAAATAGATTGGCTTTTATCAACATACTACGCACCCCAAGCCGCGGGCGGTTAAAGAGGAGTAACTTTGTTTGTTTGTGTGTAATGAACAGGCTAAAAAACTACTAGACCTATTCAAGAAAATCTTTTACTACTTATTCGAAAGCTATATTTTTCACGAGTAACATACCTAAGTTAAATTTAATTTCATAAAAAAATATGGTTCTTTAAGATATTTGGGTGTTAATAATCAACCAGAAAAATAAATGACGAGGTAATAGAATATGTACAAGAATATATATATCTAGGACAACTTATATCTCAAGAAGACTGCATGCAAAAGGAAATAGAAAGAAGAATTGCTAATACCTGGAAACGGTTCTGGTCGCTAAGCGAAGTGATGAAAAATAAAGACATGCCTATAAAACAAAAGAGAAAAGTATTTAATATGTGTATTCTTCCATGCTTACTGTACGGGTGTCAAACTTGGGCGATGACAGAAGAACTATCAAACAAATTAAAAATTTGTCAAAACGGAATAGAGAGAAGTACAATAGGCGTAAAAAGAAAAGACCGAATAAAACTAAAAGACATAAAGAGCAAGACAAACTTTAAGAATGCATACACAACTTACAAACAACTAAAATGGCGATGGTCTGGACATATGATCAGAGAGAAAAAGGAGAAATGGACCAGTTTAATAACTGAATGGTATCCACGAGATGGTAAAAGGAATAGAGGTAGACAGACTAAAAGATGGGAGGACGACATTATAAAAATAGCTGGTACTACATGGATGCGTACAGCAAAGGACAGGACACAGTGGAAATCTTTAGAGGAGGCCTTTGTCGAAGGACAAGCTGCGATACCACAACCACCGTTTGCCGATATTTAATTTAATTCCATAAGGAACTTAGTATTTAAATTTTGGCATGTTTAAGTAATTAGGTATAGTTTGTAAAACTAAGAACAGCAATAAAGGCTTTTTATTTTATTTTTATTTTATAATCAACCAGAAAAGTTACTCTTTGAAGGTTGGTTTTGTTTTTTTTTTAAATCCACCAGAAATACGAGACTAAGCAGCGGGAAGAAGCTAGTAAATAAATAAAAATAAAACACGACAAATCAACAAACACAGTATTCTTATTAAAACAACAAAATATTTACATATTACAGTAGAATTAAATCGATTTAAACACCCAGGCTCTTGTAGAGCAATGGAACAAAATCGTCGAATTGTGCGCGGTAGAAGTTGCCGGCGACGGGAGCTCCGAGGTTGTATTTCTCTGCGAACTTCTTCGTGGAGAAGGCAGCACGACCATCGATTGACCTAATGATTTAAAAAAAAAAGAATATAATTTAAAAAGTTGAATAAATATTGTGAAAGTTTGAGCGAATGTATGGATGTATGTTTGTTTGTTATTCTTTCACTCAAAAACGGATGGACCGATTTCGTTGAAATTTGGTATTTAGAATGTAGATGGGTGATATGGATGGATTAACACATAGGCTACTCTTAGCAAATTACAAAGATCATGTTTGTTTTAGACCCTGTCAGCCGGGGTTGCGGGGTAAGCGCAATAAGTCACCGCGGCCTCGGCCCAGAGCAGGAGAAGGAACGGGGGTGTTTTAGTCAGTAAGAGTCTGACACTCTCTCTCGCCTAACCCTGGGCGGGAGAAGTCATTTGATGATTTTCCCCTGACCATTGGTAAATATTAAATTAGTTTTTAGTTCAGTTCAATGATATGTCCAGAAGAGAAGAAATAATGCTTTTGATTGATAACTTTATTCCGGATAAGTACTCTATTATTTCTTAAGCATTTATACCTAATATAATAACTATGCAATTTACTACTTTGTATGCTACTAGCTTTAGCCCGCGACTCCGTTCGCGTGGAATAGTGACTTCCTGCAGATTTTTGGCAATAAAACCAAACTAAAATCCCCAAACTACTTCTGTAAGAAATTTCACACAAATCGGCATAGTACTTTACGCGTGAAGAACAGACAGACAGACAGAGTTACTTTCGCATTTATAATATTAGTTTGGATAAATATTTTATTTCTGAGCAGTGGGTATTTTTGCACATTGCTCTAAAACATGATTAGGCGCTCGCATTGATCTGCGTCGCTATCTTAATCAAACCGCTAATCTATATAATCACTCTTAATGGAAATGCAATGTACGAAAAATGCCATAAAGTAGGAATTGTTTTTTGTTACCATTAACAAAGTAATGACATCACTCACTTGTTAGTCAGCCTCTTTTCATCAAACGCCAGCTTGCCAGGCTGTTTGTACAGGATGTAGACATATCTGTGGATGCCGGTGCCCTCTGGTGGGCCGGAGCCGATGTATCCTGACAGCACCTCCCCCTTGCTGACGTCACTGCCGGGGATATTGCCCACCAGCCAATGGTGCCACTCGCGGTAGACGGGTTCAGGACCGTCGTAATTGTCAGGGTCTAAAAAAAATGCCTTTTGTGTTTAGTTTCCAAACACTGCCAGTGAGTCTTCTTCTATACTAATATTATAAAGAGGCAAAATTTGTAATTTTGTATGTAGGGGGCAATCTTTGGAACCCCTGGTCAGATTGCCAAAACTCTTTCACTGATAGATAGCTACAATGTTCCTGCGTGCTATAAAGTGCTCTATATAGGGCTATAAAACATCACTCTACGATCAAATGGAGCAGAGCAGCGGGTAAAACCGCATGGGAGTAGCTAGTTTAATATAAAATTCTTATATGTCATGAACCTAACAGCAGGTACCTATGCTTTTAGAAAAAGAATTAGCCGCCGCATTCAAAGTCATTGCCCAGACCTTTTGAGGAGGGATAGTCGAGTAGGATTACTTCTATCGCCCTGTGTTTGGCGAGAGACGTGCCTGACTTTAACTGACTAAAAACCACTTATTCGTTCTCCTGCTCCAAGTGCTTAACCTGCAACCCTGGCTTTGTGTATCGTACCTAGGTATATTGTTGTACAATGTCACAAAAACAAAGTCTTGAGACCGGCAGTTAATGTATGATTAAAATAAAACAGTATTTTAACACAATTTGTATAGGTACCAAGATTTCATAACTATGGAGGTATATAATCATATATATTATGTTCTTTATGTAACTTTAATATTACTAGATAACAACTATATGTATATAATTGAAACTCACCAGTGAAGACAAGAGTGTAAAATGCGTTAGGGTCGGCTTCATAGGAGACATTGGGCTGGTCCTTCACCTGCGTGGGGGTCAGCTCGTTACCCTGGGAGGCCACTGCACCGCTTGGGTACTTCAGCTGAACATCATAAATAACAACCATCATTAGAACCAATACCATTGATACCTGGATATAAAGACGCTCGCTTTTCGTGTATGGCGGTGTTCGCTAGAGCCAATGCGACTTTTTCCGAATTGTATGATCTTGGTTTGTAAGATTATTTTGACACAGATACATAAGGTGAAGAAAAACATAGTGAGGAAAGCTAATCTTATAATTTTGAAATCGCTAACTGTCTTGTGCAGGCGAGGTGATTGAATAGTACCTATGCATTCTCCGTGTGAGAAGAGGTCTTTGCTCAGCTGTGGGCACTTTTAAGTAGAACCAACGATCTAACGAACTAGATCCTACTAATATTATTAATGTGAAAGTTAGTAATAAGAATGTATGAATGTTAGGTAGGTACATTCATACATTCTTATTACTTGTTTCACACAGAAACGGCTAGACTGAATAAAATAGAAAAAAATATAAAGTTGTTTGTAAAAGCATCAATGGCACAGAAGTAAATGGGTGTAACGTCCCTTTAACAAAGAAAAAAAACTTAGTCTACTATCAAGGAAAGCTTGAAAATAATAAGTGCGCTAAGATCGTACCTATGAAATGAACATTTTATCTGGCTATTATATATAAGATAATAATGTTAAAATCAATCAAATAATAATGCTTATTTATCGAGAATTGAGCATGTGAATTCTGCATGACAAACGATAAACATGTAATTAAGCAAGTATGTACCGGATAATAAGAAAATACCGGATTTCACATTAGGTACAATGATAATTTATGATGGATTGCCGATAAGGAGTATTTAGTTTAATAATTATTATTCCAACTGTTTTTATAAGTAAATGTTTGCCCCAGCTATACTTACCGATATGCGACGATATTACATAAGTTGTCATAATTGCCTTTTGTCATAATTGCCTTATCTAAGTTTTGTTTATCACCAGCGTCTACTAGCGGCTACACTCGCGTTTTGGAATACATAGAAACCTACATATATGTTGTTCTATATTATTTCTGTACCAAATTTAATAAATAAAATAAAATTTAAGGGTGATTCTTTAAAGATGTGCATATCACGCGGCCCTCCCCAAATAACTACTTTGTGAGGTATAAAGTTATGTTTTTTTTATTTCACATAAAACATAGTTCCAGCACTATATACAGATGTACATAATATGTTCCTATTGCTATAAACAACTAAGATATCTTTATAAACGTTCCTCAAATCTCATCACCATTCGTGTCCCATTTCCCGAATTTTAGCAGTTCATGCTCGAAAAGTTATAAAAATACCTTAAAGAACGTAATTTTAAGTAGTAATTTAGATAGTACAGGACATGTTTTACCATATAACAAAACTATATACATTAAAGAACACTTTTAGGTAATTTGTAATGACTTTGAAAATTGTCCCAACACTTTGTACTCACTACCATTTGTTCACATAGTCGCAGGATTATTTTTCTGGATAATGTATTATTATTCAAAGTGCAATTGCTCGACGATTACGTTCAGGTCCGTGTCTCGACTAGTGTGGGTCACACGTCAAAGACCGTTTGGGCGCCAATTTTAGCGGACCTTAACCGCCCAGAAATCGTGTTTGGCAAATTAAAATCTCCTTACCGTTCGAGTTTCCTGTGGTAAGTCTATTATTTTTATTAATCATTTTTAAGCTTTTTAATAGTCGCAGTAGGATACTTTTTGCTTTGATTAAGTTCCAAAATTATTTACTCCGGTAAAGAACGTATAATGTAAGAAAGTGTACAAATTCCTAATTACCGTTCATATAATTACCATTTTTCCCGTTCGTATTTTAGCAAACGGTAATGAGCAATTGAAAATGGTAATGAGTACCAATAGTATAAGCATTTTTTTCGCGGTGGGAAAATCATCTAATGGTATCCTCATCATCATCTTGGGCAGAGCGGGAGATAATGTCAAACTCCATGGCTGAGTTATCTTTCGAATTAACGCCGGCCCCAATAGATTTCGACCCAGCTGGGCCGCTGCTGTTGCTAACAGCTTCTTGAGGCGCCCAGGAACAGTGCGCGCTGTCGACGACTTGAGCTCGGTCCAGACAGTTACCGGACAGCAAGCTATCCATTGCTCGCCGTCCTTGCCTACAGTGCCGCGGTGGCTGGAAATCGGGATCGGTCACTTCCGTAATATATTTTTTATTTTCAGGGTAAATATGCCTCGGAAAAAGCAGCAGTCGAAGGAGGAAACATTGGCTAAAGCCAAAATTGCACGCCGGAATCGATATGCAAAAATAAAAGCAGACCCTATTTTATACGCCCTTGAAAAAGAAAAAGAACGACTAAGATACAAAACACGAAAAGAACAGAAAAAACTTTTGTCAGATGTAGAAATGACGCCAAGAGTTAGAAGGCTACAGAGGAAGAAATGGAGAGAAAACTTTAAAAAAATTTCAAAAACGGAAATTAATAAAAGAAGGAAGTAAACACATAATGAAAATACACCAAGCACCAATGACCATAAAGATGTAAGTAATAATAATGAGAATAGACAACATACGTTGAGCTGCTTGGGGAAGGAGAGGCATCCCACGGCTATCAGAGCAATCCCGGAAGTACGGTCAATACCCCTACCAGCACCTTACTGAGATACATCCTTCCCCCGAGTCTACTTTTTTTTTATGTAATAGGTCGGCAAACGAGCAGACGGATTACCTGATGGTAAGCAATCAGCGCCGCCCATGGACACTCGCAATGGAGGAGTTACGAGTGCGTTGCCGACCTTTTAGGGATTAGGGATTTGGAGATTTAGGGATTTAGGAGGGATTGGGGGAGGGGAAGGATTGGGCCTCCGGTAACCTCACTCACACGGCGAAACACAACGCTGTGGTTATTTCACGCCGGTTTTCTGTGAGGCCGTGGTATCACTCCGGTCGAGCCGACCCATTCGTGCCGAAGCATGGCTCTCCCACACTTAAATATCCTGATCCTTCAACTCCTACTCTTGCGAATCTCCACTCAAGCCAGCCAATGAAGACAAGAATGAGGTGAGAGGGCTTATTCTTCATCAGTGTTCACTCCAGCTCATCACGAGGACTAACCGGAGGTGAAAAACAAGACACTTCCCGGGAGTCAGGTCCGTGGGGTCGCCACTGCCCAACAGCTCGCCACAAGCTGCCTTGCGGATGAAACGAAGAATAGAATCAATAGAACAAAATCTGTTTGCGAAAATGAGCCACAACCCTCCACATCTAACGATAATCCACACGAAAAATTAGTCAATAGCTTAAAAAACAAATTGCGAAAGATGCGTTACATAATAGAAAAGAACTTTCATGTATGTTCTATTCATATTGAGTTTTGAAGTATTATTTTAGTTGATTTTATTGGATTTTGACGATTTTTTACTAAAACAATGTTATTGTTAATTAAAAATGTCGGTTGAGTTTTGAAGGTTTTTTTTATATAATCACGTTTATGTTGTTTATTGCCAACTATATAATTAATAAATATGATTCAAGTATATTATTCATATTATTCCTAATTACCAATAAAGAAACCTAATTACCATTTTTTAGGTGCTAATTACCGTAAGTTTCAAATCTCATCACCGTTCGACGAAAATTTTCAGCTTCAGATTCAGACCTATACAGCAATTAAATAAATGTGCGTTTCATTTATTTCGTTTATCTGCACTATAAATTATACATCTAATCCAAAAAAGTTGTAATTGGAAGCATTATTTGAACTAAATTTACATATCCTGAATATGTCTATCTTCAAATATTCACCCTTAAATCTGTTCAGTAGTTTCACGCACAAACACTCATCAATCCACATAACTTTGATGATGATGAATTTACTGATAAATGTAATGGGCAACGACAAAATATAAGTCGCATTCCCCCATTTTTTGTCCTATTACGCTTGCCCCCCGGTTGATAGGTGAACTTAAAGGATACTTTTTATCTACTACGGGGCCAAGGCGCGTGTGAAAGCTAGTCTGTATATAGGTATATAAAAATTAATCGTAAATATGTTGGTAAGCGCATAACTCAATAACGCCTGGACCAATTCTACTGATTCTTTTTTGTTATGTGTTATAGTCACGAGAAGGTTCCTATGAAAGAAAATTTTAAAAAAGTAGAGGTGAGTCTTGGGTAATAAGGACCCTTTCATCGTAAGCGAGATGATGAGACCCGTGCGGAGCAGGGGCGAGCTGCTAATATGAAATAATAATACATTACCTCAATGTTTGCAGAGGGTGGTGTCGGGATGACATCTGGCACGATCTTGCTTGACTGGAAGGCTTGTGATACTAGAGACATGGTGACCTGTGGGTAGTAAATAATAAAGGTTGAGCAGAACAGACGCATATGCATAAATGTACTTGAACGGAGGCTCTACTCCCTTCCCTCCTTCCCTTCCCCTATCCCTCCCGACCCTTATATCCGCAACCCCTATCCCCAAAAGGCCGCCAACGCACTCGTAACTCCTTTGGTGTTGCGGGTGTCCATGGGCGGCGCCGATTGCTTACCATCAGGTAATCCGTCTGCTCGTTTGTCGACTTATATCATAAAAAAAGAAAAAAAGCGTAGGCACGGACTAATGAGTTCATTTTTTGGAACATCATCGCAAACTTTATCTCCTTCGTGAGGCGGTGTGATCCTGCCTCATATTCTTCCCTTTTTGCAAGGGGAAAATCGTCCAACAGACTTCTCCCGCTTCAGTGTCAGACTCTTACTGACCAAAACTAAGAAGTACTAAGAATTAAGAACGGGGGGCCGTTCCTTCTCCTGCTCTTTGCCGAGACCGCGGTGCCTCATTGCTTACCCCGCAGCCCCAGCTGAACATCAGCCCTATAGGGGCCCATCTGTGGTGGTCTATTGTCTCTTTGAGGCGCGCCGAGTAACCCTTTCTCGCCGTCCGCAGACCCACGCTTACGGTGGCCGGAGATCGTCTCTCGATCGCCGACGCCCGAAGTGTCGCCTACTGCGGCGGCTGGGGTCAGTTTGAACCCTTAGATGCACTTTTGAACGTCAAATTAAACATAAATATTTAATATATCAATATAATAACCGGCTGCCGTGCAATGTGTCGCTAGTTTGTTCCTATCACACAATTCTTTGTGTGATCTACAAATCGTTCTTTCGTATCAGAGTTTGATGTGTATGTGAATTTGTGTTTGTAAATGCACCTAGGTACGATACACAAAAAACCAAAGTGTGGGGAAATGTTTAAAAAAAAATGTTTTAATAAATTGTAAAATAAATCACACGTTTTACGTTGCGATAGCGTCGAATAACATACATGTCCTAATTTGATTTCTTAGTCTAGATCGAGGACTACTAGACAAGAACAAATAATATCCAATAATTAACACATGAATGTGAAAACAATGGACTAAATTCCTACCTTTTTCCACGACGGCTTCAACAACACTAAACCAATGAAACTCCGTGAAATTCACAAAACACAAATACCTTATAACGCTATCGGTCTTACGTGAACCTAGTTTTTCTCTCTTTCATATTACCAACGAAAGTAAGGGACGAAAAATCTCAGGTTTGTACCGATCGCTAATAAAAAATGACCATTTTCTCGACGAAGATTATGGCAGTTGATAATTTTGTGATAACCCTGACATTGTCCTCGGAAATGATAACTTTGTGACATGAATATAATATGTTATAATACAATTATGTCATTGTTTGTGTATAAAGATAATTATTTTGGCAATAAAAGTGTTGTTTTAGGTACTAAGAAACAGTAAGTTTAAGTGTCGGCTCGACCGGAGTGATACCTACCACGGCTTCACAGAAAACCGGCGTGAAACAACCACGGCGCTGTGTTTCGCCGTATAAGTGAGGTTACCGGAGGCCCAATCCTTACCCTCCCCCAATCCCTGAATCTCCAAAACCCTAATCCCGAAAAGGTCGGCATCGCACCCTCTTTCGATGCAGTTGTCCATGGGCGGCGCTGATTGCTTACTATCAGATAATCTGTCTGCTCGTTTGCCGTCATTTATTGATTGGCACCTAATTACAAGGTAGAGAAATTATGCCCCAGCTAGGAAATTTATGATGATAAATTATAATTCAATACTATTTTTATGAAATCGTCAGAGTTACGGGGAACCAATGGATGCAAGTGGCAAATTGTCGTTCGACGTGGAGGACTAAGGGGGGGGGGGGGGGGGGGGGGAGACATTGTCCAGCAGTGCACGTCTTCCGGCTGATGATGATGATTTATACTTTTAATTTTTAAATTAGTCATATATATATATTATTAGTTTATATCTCTATTTGGCCTTCTTAGACGTTGAGTGATGGCCTGAAGCCTTCCTCAAGAAATGAAATGTAACTACGATATAGGAGCAAATCCTAATGTAAGGGAAATCTTTACAAATAAATCTTTTAAAATTAAAAAAGAATGGTAGATACTCGTCGTACTAGGTACTCTATAAAAAAAGTAAATTCTTAATATTTTCTCTATTCATATCTACCAGTATTCTACAGAACTAAACAGGTCAAAATATGTATAAGTACACTAGCTTTTGCCCGCGACTTTGTTCGCGTGGTATTGTGACTTCCTGCAGATTTTTGGTTTAAAAACTATCCTATGTCCTATCTCGAGTTGCAAACTATGTCTGTACCAAATTTCACATAAATAGGTTCAATAGTATAATATTAGTTTGGATTTGGATTTTGATAATTATGTTTACAATTAATAAAAAGACGGAATATATTTTATTAAACAAACATTTATTTATTTTTCGAAACAAATCCTAATGAAACAAATAGTAACAACAAAATAAATCAAACATCGTTCTTGTTAATACACACACAAATAATAATAATTAATATAAACAAAAAATTATTCCAAATATTATTTTATACGAATAATTATTATGCCAAATAATTATGACTTTTATTTTTAATGTAATACTTACAATAGTTACAACGATTATAGTATTTAAAATTTATCTAAGTTATACTTAGAGAAATATTTTATTTTCCTTAAAATACTAATTAAATTACAATAAATCAGATAAAAAATGAAACCTTTTTTATATACACACACTCATAATACTTAAAACATATTTCTACCAAAAGTGTAATAGTAAAAAAATGAAAAAAAAGAAAAATAATAATTTGGAAAGGGCTTTAAGCTTTATGTTTCTCCAATATAATTATACCGAAGGGCATTATAATTATTTTAATAATTTTATGCCAAAAAATATATCGACTAGGATACCACATTAAAATTTATTTAATTCAAAATATTATTAAAAAGTTAATTTAAAATCTAAGAAATAAAAAGCAAATTTTTGGAATTCACACACTTGCTTAAAACCACATTTTTATATAATAGTAATACAATTTATTTTGTAGGTACATGGATAATTAGGATGACAAACATTCAGCCATATAGTAAATATTAGATGTAATGCAAGTAGCAGCATTTTAATAGAGTAAGATTCCCTCATTGAAAAGTAAAAGAAATGGCCACGGGGAGACCTGCATTTAATAATAAATTACAAACAATATTGAAACATCTGTAATAATAAATAAAGACGATATTACATTAGGGCCAGCCAGATACAAAATTAGCTTACAATGTAAAAATACATTTTAAAATAATCAGTTAACTTAATATAGGACGTACTCGAACAAAAACCATCGAACAAAACATGGAAGCCTATATTTTCGTTACTGTATATAATATTATATTCATACAGAATAAATAAATAACAATAAATATTTTTGTCGAATAACTTAATTGTTTGAAACTGACCGACATCAATCTCCCACGAAAAGATTGGTGGCATTTCATTTATAGATAGCTGTGTGCTAGTTTAAAAAGCTTATAATTTTAGGTGCTCTTGCCAAGCAGTGACATGCGATGCCCATCGATGTAGAAGGGTAAGGGATTTTGGGAATAAATTGCCTGGATATTTTTCTACTAGAGTGATAAGAGTATCGGATGACTGTCTGATACCTACTATGGCCGTTTTTCGTCTCCCGTCAAACGCTTAAAATCATCAAAAACACGAGAAAATTGACAGAAATGTTTTAAATTACATCGAAACATATCAAATTCGAGCCATTGTGTTGTTACAAAATTAATTATAAATAAAAGGTATATTATTTCGTCAATTTTTTCGTAATTGTGAATTTGTGACTTCTTTCCGAAAATTGTCGGATCAAAATCACATGTTTTAGGAGATTTATAGATTTTTAGGAGAGACACATGGAAGAATTAAAGAGACACAGGAAAAGTAGGCTCAAAATAGAAACATTGAATTTAAGAATAGCATACTTCAAATGCTATAAATGGAAATATACTTGTATGTGGTATACAGGTAATAAGGTTGGAAGTTTTAAATCTGTAAAGGAGGGATAAAAACTAGAAGAACATTACGAAATTTAGATACTTACCCCCTTATTACAAAACAAGATTTATCTTTAGTCCAGGTTTAAACCATTAAGTCGGGTTTTGAATTTTGAATCCTATTGTCATCTACCTTCAATTCGAAATACAAAAACTGGCTCAATGGTTTAGTCCTAGACTAAAGTAAAACCTTGTTTTGTGATAAGGCCGTTAATCTTTAAATTATACGTTATTGAAAACGCCATTTTTAATTATATTTACACAGAGTTCCCGGCCTGACCAGCTCGCTGTTAAATTACGATGACCGACGATAATCTACAAGCTATTGTTACGATCGATAATATTCTTATAATCAGTCAGTCCTTGAAATAATATGTTACATACAATCCATTTACTGAGCCTGATCTCACTAACAATTTCAAACTGGTTAGCTAAATATTTAATTATAGCTAGAAAATCATTTGCTACGAGTATAGTTATTATATCACGTTTATGTACATTATTTTCATTAACGTACCTACTTTCAAGTTTATCCGTCTATATACCTACATAATGGTGCTAATTTCTCAAGTCGAGATCACCATTATTGGATCAACGAGATATACCTACAATTTATTTTCCTTTTTACATTTTAAGTTTCAGTGAAATCAGACCAGTACCACTAATATCGAAATTAGATTTACACCTTATACAACTTGAACCGTAGCAAACGCGCTAAACGTTACTTTCTTTGGTGGCTCCGCACTACAGGTCCTGACTACAGACCTCTTTGCTCCATCCTGTCCGTTCATCTTCAAGACAGGCTTCAAATTTGCAACATCACCATGAGACTGGGCCTTAAATCTACCAAGAGTGTTGCTAGGGTTACCTAAATCTCTTAATTTATTCGTCAAGCCGGTGATTCTGTGGGAAATATTTGAATAATTGTTCTTCTTTACATCCATCGGTTGCTTTTTCGGTTCGCTTAGTTTCTTAGGTATCTCCAGACTTTGCAGAGATGTGAATTTCCTGTGGTCAGTGCTAAGCAAGTTCCTCTTCATGTCAGGGTTTGGTCGCGGCAGTCGGGGTGGTCGCTGCAGGAAGTTGTTCGGTCTAAATGGCATTGGTGTTAGTTTTGGTTTCTGCTCGCTTGGCATTCTATAATACTGTGGTACTGGCTCCAATCTTTGGGGTTTTCTTAACGTGAGCGCCATCGCCATCTTGGTCGGCCTGGCGAGGCTATCGAACGCTGTCGTTGAGAACTGGGATCGGCTGCTCTTCCACTCTTCGCGGTCTGACTCGTAGCCGGTCACTGGAATTTAGAAAAATAAAGTTTTTAAAGATATCCTAAGAATAGGTACTAATGTTATTAAGAACTATAATACGTGAGTTAGTCGAACAGCAGTATCTTGGGTAGCTTTAGAACACTACTTATATTTATACTAGAAAAATAAAACTAGGTTATGTACCTAGTTTTATTTTTCTAAATAATACAAAAATCTGAAAATACATCATGAATGAACCAAAATCCTAACAACCTTATAAATAAATAAATAATAATTAGTACTTGAACAGAAAATAACTTTTAAGTATATAGATATAAGAAAATCATATATAAGAACGGCGTAATTTGTATGTACATATGTAAATAAGTCCGAATTGGATGCAAGCATTACATCAGCTGTTTATTAGAATTCGGAACACGCGCGCACTTCCGTGCTCCCGCGCATACGAATCACTTGCGAGTTACAAGACAAGACATGAGTGATGGCGATGACCTAGCTGATCAAATCCTAAGGATGCCGTTTACAGAAAAGTAATAAACTTTTTCAAGTTAATTGTAATTAATTTTATGTCTTTTTTATATTCCTAGAATTTTTATTTCGTGAATATATTTGCACGGACATAACATGGAACTAGTATTCGTATTTTTTTTTAATTTTTATCTAAATAGATTTCCTAACTTTCTAATCATATTTGTAAATAGTACGTGAGCTGTAGGTTCCTCAGATAGGAATCTTATTTAAGACAAGATTTTGAATACTTTCATTTTGAGGGAAGATTTTTTTGTGGTTCGCTAGACTGAGTTCAAATAGAAATTTTCTATGTCTAAAGAGTTCTTTCTCGAGTGAAAACTATAATCTAATTATAATTACAATAGCTATTGAAAATGTTTTGGACACACAAGACTAACACTAATCCTAACGCAAGTCTAACTCACAATATCGCATCACCCAAAAATGGTTATGAAGGCCTGAAAACTGACTATTAAAATAATATTTTTATTTCATTCAGCGTGTTACATCAACTTATTAAGTATTTATTGCATTTACCGTCTCTGTTAGATCTCAAATCATTGATGTACAAGATAATTTGAAAGATATTCGTTTCGGGTTCGAAATGGCAAGGTTAAAATTACTTATACTTTTATATCGATTCAGAAATTAAAGGCATTTATTCATAATTTAATCTTAGACAGTATAACTACTATGACTGCTACAAATACAATTATGAATTATATTATTTTATATATTACAAAATAATCAAACATAAAAATACAATTTTAGAAGACAACTTTGGGTTACAATCTCCAGCTTTAGGCCTGACTAACTTTTAGTATCACCTTTCTTTCTTTTAAAGTATATTTTTAAGGAGTTCCACAAGGGACCGTCCTGGGCCCAATTCTGATAACCTTGGTAACATCATGTAAGTAGCGTGTAGTAAAATATTAAAAGTTAATTTATTTCACAAGTTTGCCTTCTGAAATCGACCGATATAAAACTGACCTTCATTTTAACGAAGCTGAGATGAGCTTTGAAATTTCAATCAGGTATATAACTATATCTTTGTCTTGCAAAAGCGTGCCATCAGAGCTATTTACAACCTAAAGCGTCGTGAGTCTCTTAGAGAAAAGTTTAGAGAGATCAATATTATGACCGTGCCATGTCAGTTTATTTATGAAAACATTATGTATGTTAGGAAAAACTTAAAAATATTCGATAAGGTGTCAGATAGACATAATTATCAAACTAGACATAGAGATAGATTATGTCAGCCATTATTTAGATTGGCAAAGGTACATAAGTCGTTCATGGGATTCTGTGTTAAATGTTATAACAAAATCCCAGGCGAAATACAACAATTAAATGAAAGAAATTTTAAATTATGTGTAAAGAAAACTTTATGTAGAAAAGCATACTACACACTGAATGATCACATTGTAGATAAAGATGCTTGGAGACATGCTGGTCCTGCTCCACAGGATAGCAAATCTACACCAAAATAAATAACGTTCCAGTGGATTTTGCTTGAACGGGGCTTCTTCATTTTAGTGAAATTGCATTACATTGTATACTAACTATAACTTGATAAATTTGTAAATGTGAGTGCCCTGTAACCTATTATAATTGGTTAGACTAGCAGAATGTCGGTCCTTATAACAGCTTGGAGTTGTCATGCTCACTGAAAGGTCACACTGGCGGTGGCATGGGCGCTGGATCGCTTAATTCCCTATAATATGGTTGAGTTGGGCGATGCTGGTGTACGTGTCATGCTCGTGAACGAGCGCCGTCAGTTGGGACTGGTCAGCTCCGGACTGTCTATTGTCCTTAAGGTTACTTTATATTTGATTTTATATTTGATTAAATATTAGTGTTACACTGTTCTCACATAATTGAACCAACTGTTTGTAAAAAGAATCTGTATGTGAAACTGATTTAAAAAGAGTAACCATGGAGTTTCTTGCTCGTTCTTCTCCATCGGAATCTACACTTTGGAACGAGCAAATAGCTTAACTAAGAGGACTGACCGACAGACTGACAATATAGCTTCAAAATTTTTGTTTGACGTTCAAAAGTGCCTGTAAAGGTCTAATTGGAATAAATGATTTTTGACTTTTTTGACTTTAACTAAATTAAAATAAAACCTTGATATTTGGTCTGCATTTTAGGACTACAGTTTAATAAAAATGCAATTGGACTTGAATATAAATGTTTTTTTTTTTAAATTATTAGTTTGTGTTTCATTGTATCATTTGAGGACTTTGTTTGTTATTCTTTAACTCGACTTTGGTTAAAATTGTAAAAATATTCTTTCTACGTTTTCTAATGGAGATGTTTTACCATTCTCTTATTTACTCCCGGCCCGGCCTACTATTTTCCGATTCCTAATAAAAAATGTCCAACCTAACTGTGTTTAGGCAAAATATTTGAAACACTGCAACAAGCACAGAACCTAAGCAAAATCCCTGTCCGCATTAAGACCTGCATCGTGGAAAAGTTTACTTCAAACTATGATTAAGTTATAGATGAAAACAGAGGAATTTCAATTCCAAATAGCAATAAACTGTTTCCTGAATTGAGTGATATTAAAATTTTTATACTTTAATTAAGTTCAACGAAGGAGAAGGTTTTTATTATTATCATTTATCCTTATAGAATTAAATAAAAGGACTGGAATTAGGTCTAATAACATAATTGTAATGCCAATCGCAAAAAGGAAGCAATAATAGTGGTAAAATTTTACTTTTTCCTTAAACATTGCTCTTTTACTGTCATGAAAGTTGTCAAATAGCAAATTCGGTATTCGTCACTCTTTTATACTAAACTGCTTGGCCAATTTTGATACAGATAGGCCAGCCTAGCAATTTATAGACAAATGCACAAAGTAGATTACAGCTTGTAACCAGAGATCAGGGTTTCAGTAACGTTATATGTTACATTATCCGAGCATGAAGGGCAGGTTCGATTCCCGCGCGTTTCATTTTACTCCTCGCTTCCGTGCCTATTGGTAACTGTTGCATGACAATCTGTGTCACTCGTGTTTTTGCAAGCTTTCTGACATCTGACAGATCTGTCATGACATTGGCTTAGCTCTGTAAAACATTGAAAATATGTATTATTAGCTAAACCGGCAAACTTCGTACTGCCTCAATAATAAGTAAATTTACTTTTATTTCATACATTGAATCCTAATCAATATTTTACTTCTAATGTTTTAAACCTTCCCTTATCTAAGAATATTTCAGGACCACAATAAGCCATGTTGGTCTAATCTTTTTCGAGTTCAAGCGAGACTATTGAACAGCAATTAATTTTTGTACATAAGAAGGTAGATTTATAATTATTTCTTGTTTGTATTCGATTCGAAAGACTGCATACACATTCTAGGCTAGCAAGTTATTGTCTTGAATTATTTCGATGACTTTTTTTGTCTTAACTCGTGAGACTTAACTGAGTTGTCCAAAGCAGTTTTTTTTGTTTACGAGTGAAAATAATCGTAATGTCTTTCCCACCCTGGACGATATGCGAGAGAATGTCAGGCTGTTACTGACTAAAAACCACCTCATACCAACTCCTACTCCAAACAGCGCCACGCCATAATGTCACTGCGCTCGACTCGAATACCAGTTGAGGGAAAAAGCGGGTGCTGCAGTGAAAAAAGTAGTTAACACCCGGTCAATTTTTCTCTATCCTTACAGAAGTGAAAAAAAAAACTTTTATAGAGTTTGCATAGCGGAAATGCTTTCGTTGTTACAGATTTTGGATCTCCTTCTCTATGTGTCGTTAGTCATATTATAAACTGTTTAAATATCACAAACCTAATTCTGCTAAGGAAAGAAATGAATCATTTAATATTTGTGTTACCCCTTTCACTTTTATTCAAAATGGCTGACTAATTTTGACATTGACGTTGTGTGTGCTCAGTTTTATCCGTTAAACATCCGTGTTTGGATGTTTTTATGCAATATTTAAAGATGTTCGGTTTTTAACTTGAAATTCGTCATCTTTGACATCCTGTTGGGTATTGTGAAAGTTATTTTATAGATTCGATTTTCGGGACAAATGCAACTAGAAAAAATATGAATCCAATTGTGATTTTATGCAGTTTCATTTTTATTATAAATTTACTTTATTTGATTAATCTACACGATTAGCAATTATATTAATATTATATTTAACCTAGTTCTGAAAAGAAAGTTTCTTAGGAATTGATAAACGAATATCTCGTAGAGGTAGAAAAAGTTGCAATTATCCCGTTAAGGGGCAAATGCAACTTATGACAATCATAGTGTTTCTGTTGGTTTTAAAATTATGATATAACAAAGTTATTCAACGCAGTGTGATAACGAAGGCGGATTTGAAACGTAAGTTCACGTACCTTAGCTCGTTTTGGAGTAAAATAAAATACTTATACAATTTTACTGGTATTTGGATACATTTTTTTTAGAACGTTTTTCAATGGAAAAACGGACCACCTGCATCATAATGTTGTTCGAAACAATAATTACTGGTAATACTAAAATAAACCCTTGCTCTCCGTCTGCAGACCCGCGCTTACGGTGGTCGGACATCATCGCACGATCCACGACCACTAGGCATAATTAGTCTCTGTATTAGACTACTCTACGTTCCCGATAAAATGAAAGAAAATATGTAAATATGTATGTAAAATATGTGTAATAATAAAACTTTACGATACAAATTCCTCTTCGTAATAAAATCCATTCTATATTACTTCAGCTTCAATCAAGCACGTTTTATTTCGCAATTAGAACCTTATGACATAAGCAATAGAAGCTATGTTTATCAATACCTTTGACATTTGTCGCGTACCTTTAAACAATTGTGGTATGAACCAATCAGCAATATGCTATTATGCAAGTGTAGTTTCCTTATGTTTTGGAATTATCTGAACTAATATTATAAATGCGAAAGTAACTCTGTGTCTGTCTGTCCGTCTGTTTTTTCACTCATAAACTACTGAGCCGTTGATTTCTGTGAAATTCGGTACATACATGTTACAGGATAGTTTTTATACCAAAAAAAAATTTACAAAATAAAAAAACCGCCTTCAAAAAAAGTCAAGCAATAAAAGTTCCTACACTAAAAAGTAAAAAATAACAATTTTAATTACTGTAAAAAAACTTAATATATAGGTAAACTTATTTGACATTAATATTTTGCAAATATTCAAAATTTATTACTTATTTTTGGAGTCGGTGCCAGCATTTTAATGTTGAAACTTAATGTTAGTTTGCTTTTTAATATCCGGTGCCATTTTTCATACATAATGCTTAAACATTTTCAATGTACTTAAAATGTTTTTGTAAGTACTTATATATTTTTTATTTAAAAAAAATGTGCAAATCGGACATTTTTTGTAGAGAAGTCTAATCTGTATTTATGTCTTAATTAATATACCTATATTTGAGTATGCAAATAGGTATTAAGTAGTTTTATAATTAAGTAAGAGGTAGTTTTTCAAGGGATTGTTGCCCATTTGTATTTCCTTGCATGGGCTGGCACCGACTCCAAAATTAAGTAATAAATTTTGAATATTTGCAAAATATTAATGTCAAATAAGTTTACCTATATATTAAGTTTTTTTACAGTAATTAAAATTGTTATTTTTTACTTTTTAGTGTAGGAACTTTTATTGCTTGACTTTTTTTGAAGGCGGTTTTTTTATTTTGTAAATTTTTTTTATTTGTAGCCGTTTAGTGTTTTTTTTTTATTATAATGTGTTATGGCAAAGAAGTCAATATCGTTCCTACATTTCTTTTGAAAAAGTTACCAATGTCATACTTATACGTAGAAATACATATCATAGTACATTGTTACTGTGTAATCGTTTTGATCTCGAGGAGAGATGATATGATGCATGAGATACTTATGACTTATAGTTAAAATAAAATAATAATCTTATCATAAATTCATATTAGTTCTCGCCAAATAACAAAAAACTAGATATTTTCATCAACAGACAGATAAAGTTCAAAGATACCAAATGCAATCTAATTTAGTATCTATGATTAAATACATTCGTACATAGAAAAAAGACCGATGCAATTATTGTTTTGTATCAATTGTAACCCATTAAATGAAGAATACTATTTTGTTATTACTAAGAACATTCATATATAGACAAGTTGGTAAAAATACAAAAGACCATCGCTATTGTAAATATACATTTATGACTCATTCAATGTATGAACCTTTTTTAAGTAAGTATTATCTACATATGTGCACACAAAAGAAACACAATTATTGTTTTGTACGACGCAATTATTGTTTTGTAACCCATTTAAAACGACTGTTTTGTTAAAAATGCCAATGAATTCTCTTAGCCTATTACCAGAAAAACGATAAGAACACAATGACGCATTTCACCACTAATGTGTAAACGCAGTCCACGTGGACTAATGCAAAATAGCCAATACTAGGCCAAACTCCGCCCCCAAAGGTGTGCGGTCCCGCTCTAGAACCTTTCGGCCCCATCGGCCATCTGTTCTACGAGCAATGTGCCGTGCCCACTGTCACTTAAGTTTGGCATTTCTTCGGGCTATGTCGGTGACGCTGGTTCTTCTGCGGATTTCTTCATTTCTGATTCGAACATGCACGGAAACTATGAGCATAGCCCTTTCCATTGCTCTTGACAGCTCTAATAAGCTTACACAATACTAGGCCCCATGCCAACCTACCAGCTTCATCATCACATCAGTTCAATAGTACCTTACAGCCAAAGTGCATCTTATAACAATTCTAACAAGCCCAAACACGGCTAGGATATATTAATTAGGTACGCAGTTCCAGTGCCTACCTTCCAGCTCCATAATCATCATTAAATCAGTTCGATGATAACATTTCCAACATAATTATTTAAGATCATTGGTTTACAGTGCATTTTCATAGTTTCTGAACTACCTTGATTGTGATATCTATGCGAGTGTCAAGTTTCATCACCCATTTCTGATCTTCTTCACCAGTTCCACCTCATCAAATATTACTTTTTGACTGTAAATGCTTGAGTGCTCTATGAAAATATTAAAATTACTATATAGTTGCCTATAATATTTGAGGAGTTCCCTCGATTTCTCATGGATCCCATCATTAAAACTCGATTTTGAAACCAAAACCAAACCAATCTGGAAGCATATCCTTTCAATCATAAAAAAAATTTTGCAAATCCGTCCATAAACGACGGAGTTCTGAGGTAACAAACATAAAAAAAAAAAAAAAAATACAGTCGAATTGAGAACCTCCTCCTTTTTTTGAAGTCGGTTAAAAATTGCAGGAAGTCACTATTCCACGCGAACGGAGTCGCAGGCAAAAGCTATTATTTTATAAAGTAGGTACTAGCTAGTCTGGCGCGGTTTCACCCGCTGCTCAGCTACATTTGATCGTAGCGTGATGTTTTAGCGTATAGCACTCAGGAACATTGTAGCTACCTATCAGTGAAAGAATTTTGGCAATCCGACCAGTGGTTCCAAAGATTACCTCCTACATACAAACTTACAAAATTTACCTCTTTATAATATTAGAATAGATGTGTAGGTACTTGTTTATTAGCAACTTATAAAGTTTAAAAATAAAGTTAATGCTTTCTTCTGTTTACTTTGTTTTGTGCTATTGATTTTCCTAACAGAGTTATAAATGTAGAAAGGAATTCCTTTAGGAATATACAGTATCTACATAATAATATGTCATGTAATATTTGGTATATAAAAAATTACAATAAAATAACAAAACTCACTAATAAGATATAAGTGAATATTAAAAATCACTCCATATTTAAAATGTCGAACAAAACAAAGTTGACTAAGTAGGATAGGAGAAGAAAGAGAGATTCCATGGTTACTTTTTTTAACCGAATACAAAAAAGGGGAGAGGTTCTCAATTCGACCGAATATGTTTTTTTAAAATATGTTTAGCCATTACACACTCATTATATGTGACAACGACGCAAAGACAATTTATCGCAAAACAAAGTAAGCTTTTAAAAAGTAAAAACAAAAACCACCCCTAGACTATAATATTACACAGAGTAATAAAATCTTTACAGACCTTACAGCCAAACCTACATTGGTCTATCGCAATCTTCAATGACGTTATGTCTCTTTATGTTGTATAAACGGAGCCGTTCTGATGCCGAGTCATTGTTGACACGGATGCTCAAAGGCTACTTTACGATTTAATGGGACAAGTGGAACAGTACGGTGTTAGTTCGGTAAGTGTTTGTAGAGGGCAGTGTGTCAGATAAGGTTCTTGTTTTAATCTATGCTTACTTATTTTCCTTACAAATTATCGAAACCAAATCCATCTGTTTATAAAACAGTAAGATCGTGTACTTACAAAACCTAGTAATTAATACACGTTAAAAAATATTTTACGTAAATCAAAATGGCTGTCCATTGAGGCCAAACAAATGTTGTTTTAAAGCTGTGTAAGGGACACACATATTGATTGAAGACAAATAACTTAATCGTCAGCCACTGACCTTACAGCCATGTCGAGTGCTTTGTGTACAAATAGATAAATTGCTTAATTTTACTAGTTAGTTAAGGTTGTCTTATGTCAACTGTCGGCCATCTTACATAGAAAGCTCTGTGCTGTACCTATTGCATTTTGTTATTGAGACTGAATTACACATCAATTTATATATTAACTAGCTTTTGTCACTGTCTCCCGAATCTGTATTCCTAAAGATTACCGTTGCGAAATTTGACCACTATGAAAATCTCTAAATAGCTTTTTTTGTATTTCGTAATGGGCAGACATTTGGCTGGTATCACGGTAAACGATAATGCGACCTACGATGGAGCATGCCTGCCCATACGCAACATATTTACTCGGGCCTCGCGGGCTTAGCAGTTCGGATTATAAAACTGGAGGCGAACCGCTTCGTGCTTGTAGTTGGGACATCTACCATAAAGTGATGTCGTTGTGCCGATTGTTTGGTGGTACGATGCTATCCTTGTTAGTATACTATTTAGTAGGTTTTGCAAATTCTTTTTTTTTATTTGAGAGTGGACAATCACTTACCATTTCCCGCCCTGAGTGTGACGAGAGAGAGCGATTTGGGATTAGGAGTTGATCTATTAACAAGGCCCAGGTCAGTTTTAGCATTCACTAATCCCTCTCCATAAGCTAAGGCTAGGCGTATTTTAAGGTTTTTTTGTTTATGGAATAGGAGGCAAAGAAGCTCACGGATCACCTGATGGTAAGCAATTGGCGCCGCCCATCGCCCAACCGTCTATGTGATGGGGATGAACATGTGTTCGCGTGGAATGATGGCGAAAAGATGTGGCGGGGATCAAATCGAACAATTTCAGAACACTCCCCGTGATAAATGCGATGGAGAATACATAGCGAGGCTGCATCCTTACGCAGTGCCAAAGAGCCCGGCCGGTCCGAGACAACAGGGCAGTCAACAATTCAGACAGCTCGTCGATGAATGCGGTCCAGAGGGAGAAGTTGGTACTGGGGTGCCCCCGCCCAAAGATGAGAGCAGTGGCAACAAAAATAAAAAAGCAAAGTTGTTCATCCATTAAATATGTGGGTAAAGTTTGAATCAGCTTGATTTCTCACACCGTAACGACGCGACGTAAGCGCAGGTTCGTGAAATCCTCTTTCAATTGTTGTTAACATTCAAATATTCCGAACAAATTGATCAGTGGTTGGTCAACTGTTGTGAACGGATGGTGATAAAAATGAGAGGATTTATGTTGAAACTATATTTCATGCCTAAACACAATTTCTACGCTCAAACTTGCCTAAGTTTTATGACCTTCAGATGTCAAAATAAGGCATAGGCTATAAGCATAAAATTATACAATAATATCTATATTAATTTGACTGATTGGATTACCTTAGTCAACATTTTATGTATTTTTGCGTAATTTATTTACGAAATATTTAAAAGGTAATTTACACGAGGATCTAAATCCTGATTAATTCTATTTCTCAAAACAGCACCTTTGTAGTTAACGATGAATATCATTATAAGTACCTACATTAGGTATATGTAATATGTAGCCATTCATTTTATGACGCTACTTTTACTAGCCTTTCCTTTATGTAAATACCTGTTACATTAAAGAGGCTTCTCTAAATTTCCAACTGATATAGCTATCAAGCTATAACTGTCCTCTGCTGAGCAAAACGTTTAAACATTAATCACCATGCTTGCTCAAGACAATTTCAAACTTATAATTATAAATTATTATATATAATCTTAGATTTCCTTACGATGTTTTTCGTCACCGTTTTTGTCAATGGTGTCTAAATTCACTCACAAAGTACATGTAACTCGGAAAAAGTAACATAAGCACTTGTCAGGTTTGGGAACCGTCCTTATGCATGAGAAGCGGGCACATAATCTAATCCAACTCTTCCCCCGCATCCCTAATCTTCAAATCCCCTATCCTTAAATCCCTAAGAGCCCACAAGAGGCCGGCAACGCTCTTCTAGCCATTTTGGCATTACAACTGTCCATGGCCGTTGCTGATTTACGCTTACCATCAGTCTGCTCGTTTGCCGATCGATCACATAAAAAAAAACTGCTAGATAAACTATCAACATAGATTTTCCATTAGCTACCGATTACCTAAGTTTAACTTAAGTATTTATAGATTTTAAGTTATTCAAGTTACGATAGAGGCCTATCAACACAGTACGTAACCTCGCACATGGAGATTTAGAACACTAATTAGCATGTATAAACATCTGTGTCGTCAAAGATGTTGAAAGGGTGACGTCATCACTTGAAAAATCAGTTCCGCCAATCATCGATCGTTTTTCCATTAGCCCTTCGTGAGTAATTTTATGATAACGCAACCGAATAGTTTATGTTTCACTATTTTTGTAAAGGTGGTGTCATCTCAATTACCTTACTGCAATTGTAGGCCGTTGGTTTGGTATTGAAATGATTTCTGATAGTGGGAAAATGGAGAAAAGGGTTTTGGGTTGCTTCAGGTTGTTTTGGGGCCTTTTTGAGGGGTCATTAAATGACTTATGTCCTTCTGTTTGGGGTGTGACGAAGTGTCAGACTCTTACTGGCTAAATACCTCCTATTCCTTCTATACAGCTTTACCCGAAAGCTGCGGATTGCGGGCCAAAATCCAGAGGCTGGCAGGTTTCGGGCTAAAAATCTTTAGTTTTTTCTAGATTTTATTGCAAAAGTATAAGGTTGTTGTTTATTAAAATTGACTTAGCAATCGTCGCTTTCGAAATCGCTTTGGAAGTTACCAATCTTAGAACCTAAGAGGTAAGGTTGAAGATGAATAATGCTTCATCGCATTTATTTCCCCATAAGAAGAGATGCTAGAGGCCAAATGGCCAAAACTATAAATGTATTAATAAAAAATATATAATCAGGCATCTGGGCAGAGGTTAAAAAGAAAACCCGTTATAAAAATGCTCATAAAATCCTACATAAATTCCTAGAAGTGCATTTTTTTATTAAAACCAATAATATTTAATGGCCTATAAAGTGGTTTAAAAATAACTGTTTGATTGTAAGCGTAACTACTAACGTGGTAACTGATTACAGTTCCGGGTCATGCAAGGTATTTATTTGTATATTTAGAAATCATCAGTAATACACACACTGATGTTAGATCATCAAGTTTGGTGTGAAAACCGTGCCCATAATAATCGATGCATGTTATGGATACTCCTTTTAGCAGGGTGCCATTTTATTTTTATTAATTTAAAGTACTTTTTTCCCCGTGATAAAACGAAACCTAAAATTATGTCTCCTGTCCAGTGTATGGAACTATGTATGTTCAAATGTTCATATATAAGGGACTAGTCGTCATCATACAACCTAAAGGACATTCACTGCTAAACATAGGTCTTCCCAAATGACTTCTAGACTGACCGGTTGTAAGCAACTGATCTACGGTTTTTATAAGTTAAAAGTGGACACTGGAACTTTGCTGTCCAAAATTAGATTCTAATAATACCTGCTTAGTATTTTTATTGAATGCTATTTGTAACGTAACAACCCTAGGAATTTCATTAAAACATTTGAACGTAGAATTAGAGAGAACCTATGAACCGGCGCCATTATTTTTGATCGACAAACAAAGACATATAAGCACGCATACAATTATTTAACACAATTTCTTTATTAATTGACTGATTGGCTTATCTTGAGGAAAACTTAAAGTATTTTTGCGTAAAATTGCTAACGAATTATTTAAAAAATAATTTACACGAGAATTTAAATCCTGATTGATTCGATACCTACAACTGTTTTTTTATTTATTATCGCTCAAGGAGTTAGCTAGCTAATCATTCTATATAAGTGTACATATCTATACTAATATTTTATAGAGGTAAAATTTGTAAGTTCGTATGTAGGGGGTAATCTTTGGAACCGCTGGTCGGATAGCCAAAATTCTTTCACGTATAGATAGCTACAATGTCCCCGAGTGCTATAGGCTATAAAACATCACGCTACAATCAAATGGAGTCGAGCAGCAAGTGAAACCGCGCGGGATAAGCTAGTGTGTTATAAAATATCTTCAATTTCATTAAAACATTTGAACTTAGAATTAGTGAGAACCGAGAACCGGCGCCATTAGTTTTTATTGACAAACAAAGACTAGGTCGGTCGTGATGCGGCTTTTAACCAGCCAGTATCTACGCAATCTCACCCATTCGTGGAGTAGAACGTAATGAGTCAAACACTGCCCATACCAAGCACTAGTACATAGCAACACGTAGACTAATGTAATAGATTACAAATATATAGGATTCTTAGGGAAAAGAAAAACTATAAATTTCGTTAAGAAATTATGGATATAAAAATACGTTGAAATTGACGGCACGGTTGGCGCGGTGGCTGGGCTACTGGCCGCGCAACGTGTTGCGGGTTCGATTCCCCCAAGGAACAACTCCTTGTGTGATCCACAGATTGTTGTTCAACGTCTGGCTGTGAACGTGTTTTTAAAAAAAAAAAACGTTGCCCCACATTAGGCTGATAGTAATTGGAATTTGGAAGAGTGCGAAATTATATTAAAAGTGCTTATCTAGATAAAACACGAAAACTGTTGTAGAGTAGGTACCTAATAATACTATAGGTATTCGATTTTTGTCAAATATAATACTTGAAAGACATTCTAATGCAATACATATGTATGTGACGACGAAATGTTAGAATTGCAATTGGTAATTTTATCTAACCACAAACCAATGTCAGAGAACAGTTGAAAATTTTTGAAAAAATAAAAACTTGGACACAATTGGTTGACCATGGCCAATGAACAAATAATGAACAAACTTAAAAAAACCTATTTTACAAATGACAGTTTTAATCCATCACGTTTGACAAGCAAAGCCGAGAGACAGAAGAAAGGCAAAACAAACTAAACGATTGAGTTGGAAGAACTTCGCAAGAGTTTTATTGCATGTTTAAAAGATGAACACAATACTGTCATCCATACAAATACTTGTGCTCAGTGACACAGTAAGTAATGTAACTCCAAGTGAATGACCGGTTACGCAAACACGATGGGTCAGCGGTGGCCTTGGCTGGTTTGCGTTTTAATAAACTACAACAACGATTTCTGTAAGATAGGCTGATGAAAGTGATCGTGTCACCTTATAATAACATCATCATGATTAAGACATTTTCATTTTTATTAAGTTTCGGACATATAAACTAAGAAAGTACATTTTGAAATTAGGAGCAACAAGTGATTTTTGTGACCCTTATGAAATGATAAAAATAAGTCATATTCATAATAAAGGCACCGTGGTTTGGTCTAATCAAGTTTATTCTATGATTATTAATCAATATTTCTGAAACAAATAGACAGTTGATTCAGACATGATATACGTTGATATGATCATTTCCTATTGAATGTCAACATGACTCAATTTCTAGTCAAGAATCAGGAAATTAGCTTACAGCTCTCAGGCCGTTACCCAACTAATCTCTCTATCTTCTGCCCCAAGGGTATGAAAGTCCAATATCTAAAGGAAGTTATCAAGTAATTATTCAACACAAAGACATGGACAAGGAAAGAAATTGTTCTTTAAAATCACCAGGAAAAGATTCATAATAGAACAACGATAGCTTTGTGACGCAAAAATAGCCTATTGTTTTATCATGCTCACCTTTATTATAATGATGGATGAATTAATCTAAAGGTTACACTTACAGCTTTAAAAAACCATAAAAAAATTATTATCTTTCAATGATTGAAATTTTAAATTATCAATCTCATGTACGTAACTGCGAACATCAAGATTTCCTAGGAATTATATAACTTTATTGGCTTCTCCGTGTTGAGTATTGATTCCTCCATAAGGAAGACATGAACTATCATATTTTGAGACAAAAACTTAATGTCGCTTTTATGCGGTAGCTCCCGCAAACTGTCTATTCGATCCAAACTGTTTACGGGTAGTAGTTTTTCATCTATAGATTAAAACTAATCGAGACTCACCTTTATTACTTGCTGGCCAGATATTGCTCGTCGCGTTCTTCTTATTTGATTTATTATCTCTGAACATTAGAATGTCCGGCACCTTATTCAACTTGTTATCTTTCGGTATTATGTCCGGCGCTCGGTCAATGTTTACTCTTACAAATTCTCCTTTCAACACCTTAGTTTGACTATCTTTTAGTATTGGCGGTGGAGGTGCTTTGGATTTCTTATTAAACAATCTGTTTCTATCAGGTTTTGATGGTATTTCTATGTCTGTGTAAATTATACTGTCTATCTCACCTACGTCATGCATGTCGTTCCTTATTCCAATTAAACTCATCGGCTGCTCGAATCGATTGTTTAAATTGTTCTTCTGTTGCACCGATAAGTGTGTGATACCATCGTTGTCTGTAGTTTGCATTAAATCGTAATCATTGCTGCGTCCCTTTTCAAACAAACTGTAGTCGTCCATACTATTCTTTCTGCTTTTGAAAATGTCATAAGTTTTCTTTTTAGAAAACAAGTTTTCACTGCTCGAATAGTTGTTCGTGTTTTTCGTCAGTCGGTTCCGCATTTTGAAGTATTTGTAAGTGAAGTATATTCTCTTGAAGTCTTGTTCGTTTTCGAACTTGAGCGCGATGGCTTCCTTGTTGATATTTTTGGTTACGTAAAAGACTAGAGTGTTATCGCAATTGGGATAGTTTTCGATGTTCACACAGTTTGTGATATCATCTATTGAAATATTTTCACATTTGGTTGCTTTTAGTTCTGTGTAATCCTTGATAAGTTTTTTGTCTTCGTCTGTAATATCTTCTTTAGTTAATAGTTGTAGTTGGTCCTTCTCATTAAAGCCGACTACTATATTATATGCTTGTAGGGAGGTTGGTTTACTGATAGCCATAATATCGATTTGTTGATTGACGCTGTGCATCTTCTGACGCGCAACCATGGCTGCGAAGCCACCCGTCCGAGCTGTCTTCTTTACAGTCATTTTTCTGCAACAAAAAGAGGAAAAATTAATATCTCGATCGTTTATTATTTTTTTATTAAATTGCGCTAAATCGTAGTTTAGATTCAAATATTATTGACCTACTGATCTTTTTCCGAATTGGTTGAACTCTAACGATTTTAAAAGGAATTTATTGCATCCATATTTATTTCAAATGCAATTAGAAAGTTTTTAAATACCATTATACTGAAAAAATCTAGCATTCTTAATTGTCAGTATACTCGTTAAACAATATAAAATGTATTGGTAAAAAACGTGAATGTTTCGAATCCAATCGATGCTCAAATAATTGCAGTAAATCGTATACTACACAATATTTCAATCGATTTCAATTCGATACTGATGGTAAACGATTGGCAATCCATTTCAAATCGATTTGCTGCCAATATTGTTCAAATGTGTTATAAGTAAACTTTGGAGATGACTCAGCACTTAACACTTTCACTTGCTTTCTTCTAAAGTGTTAAAATATTATGAGGAGTATACTTATATTCTCTATATATTTGTTTTTATATATATCTGATTCTGAAGTTCTGAACTACGAATTCAATTAATCTAATTTTATAATAATATTATAATTTCGAAAGATGATTAAGATGTTTGATTGTTTGTTACTCAATGACGCCAAAACGGCTGGACGGATCTGGATTAAATTTGGCACAGGCATGGGATACACTCCGAAATATAACATATACTTTTTGTCAACATACCACGCGGGCATAGTCGCGGGCGGAAGCTAGTATTAACTAAATTATAATTTAACCAACATCAAATGCATCAAATAAGTTGTAATAGTTTCAAATTCTAACAAGTGATTCTGCAAAGCTCAGAACATTCGATTCAATTAAAACTTCGTAAAGCAATAAATTAAATTTATTGACATCTGTTTCATAGATTACGTCTTCCATAATTTATATAACACAAATTTTCCTCATCTCGACATTAGTACCATTAAAATTCTCAATTGAACGTGTATGTATAAAGAGAAAGCGTAATTTAAAAAATAAAGACAATAGTTTGTCGTAAGCGTGTGACATCTGGCGCAAAAACCACTTCCTAGATGAGCAATGAATTAGAGACGTTGCTTCTGATGTGGTGGAAGCGACAAGCGATATTATCTAACGTGTTTGGTGTGAAAATATGATGGCTTATGTAAAATATTTCAAAATGTGCCTATAACATACTATGTCAAGTAGGCAAGGATCATGTTACGTGTTGTTAAACGTCTTCTTAGCTAATCTTTGCTTGTTGTGTATCTATGAAGATGTCACAAGTGTGGAGGTCTTTAACTAGCGACCTGCTGCGTCTTTGCATGCTATGCTAAATCATGACATACTCGTAAATGCATCAATTTTTAATGTATGTTCATATAAACCTTCAATCACTCTATCGATTGCAAAAATATTTTTAGGCATACCTAGAGATATAAGGACAAAGAAAGTGACTTAGTTTTATACTAAGTCATGTAGGTAGTTATTTACTAAAAACTAAAAGAAACTATACTTCGGGCTATGTTTTTAAGTGACCGTTCAATTTCTCTATTTCATGTTCTACCGCTTAAATTGTACGTAGCTTAACCTTATCAAGGTAATTAATAAAATCTTTACTAATTTAACCTAGAAGCACCATAAAATCCGACACAAGTCTATGATTGCCAAAGTTGGTCATAACAATACCTCATTACCTTGTTACAGGGTCACAATTAACTCCGCTCACGCCCATACCTCGGGCCACTTCCAGATATTTCCACAACAACAACAATAATACATTTGTGAGAGATCATTTTACATAATATGTAGTGCATTTCCGACTCATACGACGAAACTGGGTGAACTTTAGTAATAAGACTATTTTTATCAGATTACCAAGGTATTGTTAGTCACACTAATTACGGATTTATCATTAGCAATGGCCATTACTTAATACATACACTGTTATTAAAAATTTCGTGTTTTTAGGTTGACTTTTTGCGAAATCGTTACGTGTGATCTTTTGATTTTGTAAACTAATTTTGTTTGGGCCTATTGCCGTGGGATGGTGGGGTAAATGAGGTTATTTAAATGATAATTGTTAATGGGTAATAAGATATTTTATGCTTGTAAAGTTCTATGATATTACAAAACATTGTTTTTTTGGTACAACCCTGTCTAAATTGTTTGAATTCAGTCGTCCTTAATCCCTTCCCTGTAGGCAAGGCATAGCATTTGCAATTTATATTTTCTAAGAAATTCTATGACTGTAAAGTGGAATAGCTTCGTCCGATATTACGTAAAACGAATAGCAATGATGTGGGTGTTAAATGCAAATTTCATTTCAAGTGATTTAAAGAGATATAGGCATGTTGCTATCACCAACTATGTTTGGTTTATAGGTATGTTTCATGTGACTGATAAGCAAAGGCACAGAAAATATCACCTAAAGATATATAATCGGTGACGTCCATCAACCGTCACATCTTCAGAGAACTTAAAAATTGATTTTCTGTGAAGCCTTCGGTATCACTCCGGTCGAGCCGGCAAATTCGTGCCTCCGCCTGGCGCTCACAGCGCATATAATAACTTGGAACATTAACAACAACTAACTTGTTCTACATAAAACCTATTTCCTTATTATAATGCGACAGTATAGTGTATATCAATTTGTAGAACCAGTACCGACTGTGATCTCGTAAAATATCACTGGACCAGCGTAGCAACAGCTTTATTGCACCTTATATCGTAGAATAGCTCAGCCACTGCTAATTGGTTGAGTTAGCCACGAAAATGTCAATTACGAATGAATATATTTTTGAAATAGTTATAAATCATGTGAATTAGTCTGGATTTACCTGAAAGCAGCACACGAAGAAGTCCTTGCGCACATAAAGAAATTCTTAATGTTACACCAATCTGTTTATTCAAAACATTTCAAGTTTATATACTATCAATGACATCAAGAGCGTCCGCGAATCTGCAGTTGACTATAGGCTAAGAGGGTTTGACATCATAAATAATATAGTTTAGTAGCTACTACCGCGCGTGTTCACTCACTCTTATTAATTGCAGCGTAGTGTTTCTAGGGCATGAACTATCCAACAAAAAAGATTATTCAAATCGGACCAGTAATTACCGAGATTAACAGTTTCAAACTCTTTAGCTTGTACAAACGGGTGTATAAGATGCTTTGACAATTATTGCTACATTTTTTTTGTTATTATTAAATTACAACGTGGAGTGCGTTTCACATTCGTGGGTATCTCTATCTAGTATATTATCTAGTATAGTATCCAGTCTAGTAGTCTAGTATCTAGTGTGGGAGAGCCATGCTTCGGCACGAATGGGTCGGCTCGACCGGAGTGATACCACGGCCTTACAGAATACCGGCGTGAAACAACCCACAGTGTTGTGTTTCGCCGTGTGAGTGAGGTTACCGGAGGCCAATCCCTTCCCTTCACGAACCTTATATCCGCAATCCCTATCCCCAAAAGGCCGGCAACGCACTAGTAACTCCTTTGGTGTTGCGGGTGTCCATGGGCAGCGCCGATTGTTTACCATCAGGTAATCCGTCTGCTGGTTTGCCGATATAACCATAAAAAAAAATCTCGACCTGGAGCAGGAGAAGGAACGGGAGTTTTTAGCCAGTAAGAGTCTGACACTCCCTCTTGCCATACCGAGGGAAGTCAGTTAATGTTTGTCCCTCCACAAAATGGGTATTATTAATGGGCGCATATTTAGTTTTATATTATTTTATTTTATTGAAATAATGGCGAAGACACGGAAACAATTTTCTCGAAGTATCGTTGTAATCGCAGAAGGTTCTCATGTGGCCACAATGTACTATTTTCACTGCGACAATGCCTTTTCACATAATTATACTGTTTGATATCACGTCACAATTAAAATACAGAAAGCATCTGTTTGTCTGTCTGTTTCCATCATTCTACATAATTGCTTGTATAATTTTGTTGGAATATTTAATGTTTGTCGCTTTTGTTTAAATGAAAGTCTAGTTTAGTATTGTGTTTGACTATTTATGTTCATTTAGTTAGTAATTACATCTGAACATCTGAGAATTATTTAGTGAAACTGTTTCTAACGTTACGTTCCACTTAGTTTAATTTTAATATTCTATTGAATGGTATCGCAGCTATTGCAAAATGTTTAACATTAATCTATCACTCAAGTTTACATAACTATATTTACTTCTATATTTTTAAATCAACTATATAAAAATAAATCCGATTTTCTTTCCTAACGCTATAACTCCAGACCGCACTGATTTCCACGGTTTAGCATACGTTGGAAAGGCTCGAACTCCGTGAGGTTTATAGAAAGAAAAATCAGGAAAATGTTCAACAGAAAAGCGGAAATCTTTTTTTACACACAGCGCCAACTTTTTGAAATACATCTATCTGATGGCGAAACGGCGTACGATTTGCTAGTAGGATATATAATAATGCATTGCTTAATACACTTTTGTATTTCGAACTTCCAAATTACACATTCGAAAAAAAGATTCCATTTTAAACAATAATTTATGACATGCCAGTAACTATACTGATTAAAAAAAAATCAAGACTGATATTCTCGATATTGTAGGGCCGCGGCTATTTAAGGCGACGCTATAAATAGCCCGTCCTTTACACTAGGTCAATGGCTATAATAGCCAGAACATGTGTGGAAGTGACTCTTGGCCTTATAAATTCCTTCCGAGATGAAAAAGGGCAAACATTGCGGTGGGTGGTGCGGTAATGAGGCCTTTATAAGAAGATATAGTTATCCCTTTAGGGTTGCCAGTTTGTTGAATTAAGGATAAATGAGACAGTAGTTGACCTTGGCTTAAAAAACTTGTAAGGCTAATGAATCATTGAAAAAGGTTAGATATAAAGTTTACCTACATTTTTTCTTAGTAATTATAATATTATTATTTAATTTAAAACGACGAAAATATTATAAAAAGTTTTCGTTTTTAAGGCAACTCAAAATATATTAATTACGAAAAGTTTCG